AATAAACATTAATTTTAACTAACAGAGAAAATGAATTAGTAGCTTTTTTTTTTTTAATAATTCATATTAAAGAATAAGAAAATAATCAATTTCATCCATAAAAAAAAGTAATTACTGAATTACCAAGTTACCAAATTAATGTTACATTAATGTAAAGTAAAAATAATAAGATAAATTGTATAAAAATATCTAAACAAAATAATTGATATGAACAGACTCCTATACAAGTTTGCTACAACTTTTAATGGACATATGGACCAGCAATTAATCAAAGTGCAGAGGTCTCCATTACTGCATGATAAAATGTTACTATTTTTGTAAATATGATAATGAAAATTTCTAATTTTCTAAATAAAATATGTAACTTGTATTGATGTATTTTAAGTTATTAAATGTTGCTGCAAAAAATAATTAAACTAAATCAAAATTACGCACAAATTGTATTAATTAAATTTAGTGTTTCAAAAGTTTTGATTTTCACAATTAATATTTTGTATCTAATACAGTCTACTAGCTTATATTGTTTTTTATTAAAATAAATTAAAATATAATCATATTATAAAAATTAATTCTTAGATAAAAAATAACTTTATTGATGGCTCTGTGCTTTACTAAATAGACATTGATTAATAAGTCATGATATGTTGATATTATTAAGTAGCTTCACAGATGAGCTATAACATCTTGAAGAATGGCCAAAATCTACTTAATACAAGTTAACTGAAATAATAATTACTTTAGAACAATTTTTGATAAAAGTATTTTATTTTTTTGTAATTTATTGCTGTTAAATTAAAATTGTTTAATTTTCTTTTCTGTACAAAAAAATTTGATGGCATTTTTTTATTGTAAAACATTATTCCGTATATATATTTATAAATATAAATTCTTATGTTATAAACTAAATTGCTCTTCAAATTCATTTCTTTATAATAAAAAATTATATACTGAGATGCAATAATGGTATCGATTCATACTACCTATTTTTTAATCATATAATTAGTATGTCTCTGTATAAACTGCAATATTAATTTATATAAGTATATAAATAGCAATAAAGAAATTGTATAAAATTAAGGAAATTTTAAAAAAGAATTACTAATTTTTTTAATTTATTGCTACCTAAGTTCTTTTCTATTCTTTGAAAAATATTTTCACTCTCTTTAGTTTATGAAAATGACCAAAATTAATTAAATAATTATTTTCTTCTTTGTACAATCTAGAAATTATAGATAATTTTAATAAAAAATTAAATGATTAAAGAAAAAGGTTACAATCACAATGATTTAATTATTTATTTAAAATGAAATAAAATTTAAAATAAGGTTTAAATAAAATAAAATTTAAAATAAGGCACATAATAAAATTGACATTATATAGACTAATATTTAATTGTAAGTATAAGTTAACAAATATAAAAAAGAAGATTAATATATGATACAATTATATGTACTTTATAGTTATTTGCAAATTGTGCAATATAAACGATATTAGTAGCCCAACTATTTAAATATTATTGTATTTAATTAATTAAGTAATAAATTAATCGAAGATAATTTAATTATAAATATAAAAAAATTATTTGTGAGTAAATTATTTATTAATAATTATACATTATAAAAATTTTGATAATTAATAACTACATTATGTGTACAACTTACAATATGTGTATAATTTTATAAGTTACTATGAGGTATAAATTTTACTTAATATTGAAAATAAACAATTATGAAATTTAAACATATTATATATTTTTAAAAAACTTATGTAGAAATATAAACATGTAATATTCTAACTATACAATATCACAAAATTCATTTTTATGAATGAAAACCAAATGACAAATAACAAACATGTTTCTAATTTTGTTTGTATTTTTTTTTTAATTGAATACATTTTACTAACTTTGTTGAAAAATGTTACAATGAAGAAAAAGGTTACAATTACAATTATTTAATTAATTTATTAAATAATTATCTAACCCAATTTTCATTTAAATATTTCAAATCAATATCTATGCAAACACAAGATCAAAAATAAATATTTCAAATGTGATAATCAGTTGAATATAATAAAAATGTTTACTTTTTTGTGTATTTCTCTTAGTTCTTATAGGAAAATAGTTATTAAATATGTAATTTAATATTATTAATATAATTTAATTAGTAATATATGGTTTGTAAGTTTTTAATTTTTATAATTCAAATTAATCTGTTTTTATTTTTTAATATTTCTGACAATTTTTTAGCTGATTTATAAACATTTTTAGATTACTGATACCAAGATATCATTGGGAACAATATTAGCACATGTTAATATATTTTAATCTATAAATTATCATTATCGTTGAAAAACTTAATAAAAAGTAAGATGTCAATGCATGGCAGATTGAAGCTACTTGCTAGACTCAAAGAATTATTATATAAATCTCTTTATTACAAGAATTTTCAATTTATGATTACTAGAGAATGGTTGGAGTTTTTTCAAAAATTAACATATTCACAAATTGAAATAATCAGAAAATATTCTTTGAGTAATGATGTATCAAAAATACAAGAACAAGATATTAAAAAATCTAATAAAAAAAGAAACAAAATAGTACATGAAATAATTTCCACTATTTTATCAAATGAAAAAAAAATAAATCTACCAGAACAAGAAAAATCAGTAAATATTCATATTTTGTTTTATACGTGATATTAATGTAAATCCTTTTTATACTATAGACCTTAATTAATATTAAATTAACTAACAAAATTATTTAAACATATTTCATTTCATTATAATTGTTTTGAAAAAATTCATAAAAGCATTTCTTTAAGGTACCTATTAATCTTTCAAGTATTGTAACAAAAGAATCATCTTATATACAACAAGTTTTAACAACATTTATGCCAAAATTAAATGTTAAATCAAAAGAAGTACCGATAATACCAAAATGGAAGAGTAATTTACAAATTAGTCTTACTAAAAATAGTATTGTTTTAAGAACAAAGCAAATCTTAAATAGTATTATTGGAGCAGAATCCAATGTGATAAAATGGAGAAAAATAGAAGATTTAATTCATCACATAGATCAATTTCCTGAAGCAAAAAATTTTGCTGTCAAAGATGGTGCAATTAGAACACTACTTTTAATTCGTCAATCAAATATAAATGAACAAATCCAAGGTAAAAATTTATCAGATTAAAAATTCTATTACGTACTAATGTTATTTTTAAGCAAATTTTATATTTTATTAGGAACAATACGAGAGGCACTTGCAATATTAGGTTATATTGACCCCTTGCCTGCTCGTGGAATAAGAATTCTTACAATTGATGGTGGGGGTATTCGGGGTGTATTAGTAATAGAAATGTTAAAAAAATTAGAGCAGTTAACAGGACAGAAAATATATGAAATGTTTGATTATATTTGTGGAGTTAGCACTGGAGCTATATTATCAACAGCATTAGGTAAAGATTATATTTGATTATTGTGTTTAGTTGAAATTTTTGATATTCATATTATTTGTATATTATAATTAATATATATTTCTATTATTTTATTATATATGTTGTAAATATTTATTTGTAAATATATTAAAAAATTTCTAGGAGGTCATAAAAGAAAATCTTTAGAAGAAATTTCTGAATTATATAAAGAATTAAGTATAAAAATATTTACACAAAGTCCATTGTGGGGCACTAGCAAAATGGTATGGAGTCATGCTTATTATGACACTGCACTATGGGAAAAAATATTGCAAGAGCATCTAGGCAATAGAGATTTAATTAAAACTACACATGATATTAATTCACCAAAAGTATTTATATTTTAAACAAAAATAATTATTTCAAAATTCAAATTGCAATTAAAAAGTTCAAATTATATTTGATTTATAGTTTTCAACCATTTCAACTATAGTAAACCATGAACACATAATGGCTTATATTTTTAGAAATTATACCATCCCAAATGGTTTTGAAAGTCAATACATGGGTTCTTACAAACATAAATTATGGGAAGCTGTCAGAGCATCAGCTGCTGCCCCTAGCTATTTTGAAGAATTTAAATGTGGGGAATACCTTCATCAAGATGGTGGTATATACTTTAAATATATTTTTTCATTTGATTTCAAAATTTTAAATATTGCTTAATATTAAAAAATAAGCATTAATGGTATTCTATTAAAATATAATAGTGGCATTTAATTGCATTCAGTTTAGTTTTTGTAAATTTGTATAATATTAACAAAATTGTTAAGTATATTCAAAAGCAGCCTATTTATCTAAAATACTTCTATATTATTAATTTCTATTAGGGATAATGGTCAACAATCCTTGTGCTGTTGCAATACATGAGGCAAAAAAATTATGGCCAAATAACTCAATTCAGTGTGTTATTTCATTTGGTACTGGAAGAACTCCATTCTCTATTCATGATAATAGTGAAAATAAAATAGAAACAGCATCCAGTTGGAAAGATAAATTTTACAAAATTCTTGACAGTGCAACAGATACAGAAGGTACATTGTTTTTAATATATTTAATAAAAACGGTATTATTATGTAAAAAGTGAAAAACCTTGTAAAATGGTACAAAAAAATTAATTTTCAAGTACTACTTTACATGGAATTAGAAATTTTTCATTTTTGCAAAAAATATTTTTCCAATTAAGTTCCAATTAAATGTATGAAATTCAGTATTTGCATTATCCTATTTATTTTAACAATGCAAAACTGGATTTATTGATTTACTACATATTCGAAAATATGCATTAAAATTTTAAATTATATTGCAATGTTTTTTAATAGCTGTACACATCATGTTAAATGATCTTCTACCAGATCATGCTTACTACAGATTTAATCCCTATTTGACTGAAATGCTTACGATGGTGGAAATAAGACCAGAGAAAATTGCACAATTGGAACAAGATGCAGCAATGTATATTCGTCGTAATGAAGAAAAATTTCAGCAAGCAGCCAAAGTATTAATGCAGAAAAAAACATTAATACAGAAACTTATAGATTGGATTAAGATACAAAAGATTATAATAGGTATTTAAAATACATACAATTTATATAACAGATTTTGTAAATAATTAAAAATATAACTGTTAAAATTATTACACTTTTGTCACTTTGTAACTATTAAATATATATTCTTAAGTTACCTACATAATGTGTTTAAAAATTATTTATATCTAATTTTGAACAGAATAATATAAATTAAAATAGAAAATTGTATTTATTTCTTTTTAAATATATAAATACTTTATTTTTAATGTAGTATATTCTAATGATAGTAGATAAAAATTTTAGTTTACATATTTGTCAATTATACATATTGTTGTTTATACTAACATTTTATACGATTCAACATTTTTTATTTACTTTAACAATTATTTTATTTATTCAAAATAATAATAAAAAAGAAATTCTGAGTCAAATATTTTAAAATCAAAAATTTTGACAAAATTTTTTATAGTTTATAATTACAAAACATATAATCATAATATTTGTTCAATGTATTGAATAACAAAAATGGCTGTTTACTAATTTACTGTTCATAATGGTAAGCTGTGTTATTTGTGAAGACCTGTATTCTGAATTTAATGACTCTAATTTAACTATTTAATCATATTCATTAATTATTCATTAATTATGGTAATAAGAAAAAAATATTTGAGAAACTCATTCTAATTTTTTTTTTATTGTCATACTGTTCGATATTGAAAACTAAAATATAAAAATATGCTATCTAATACAAATTAAATACTATATATAAGTCCAATGTTAAAATAATAAAATATTTTAACCCTAAATACAATTTTATTCCATTAATATGATATACTTTTTTTTTAATGCGTCATTCAAAAGTTAAAATGTTTTAATAATTTACGTTTTAGCAAGAATTATATTTTACGCATTTATAAGTACCAATTAGAGAATTCATTAACTATGATCATGAATCTAACAATTTTAGTGCATTTAGTACAAAAATAGGTAATTATGAACAGGTAGCATATACTTGTTATTGCCTCAATTTAATTAATGTGATTGTAATATTTAGTTAGTTATTGAAAGTTGTAGATTGAAGATAAAATTATAAAATTATAAAATGAAGTAATTTACTTATTATTTTAAGTGAAAATTTTTATTAAGAAAAAGTATAAAATATTTTATGTTAATTAATTATTATATGTGTTATGCAGAACATATTGAAAAACATTAAAATAAAACTTCGATTACATACGCTTTGATGAATTAATTACTTACTATATTATCAAATAATCCCATAAACAATACAGGGGATATGAGTCAGACAATATATCCAGAGAAAGCATTTTTAAACCACGGATAATGGAGATATAAGCTTATAGGCTCTTTTGAAAGTGTGTATGACGTATAACAAAGACAAAATTTTATTTTTTCTTTAATTATCGAAAATAATTTTCAAATAATGAAATTAACGTAACTAATTAAATTAATTTATTCGTTTAAAAAATATATTTATTGAATTCATTCTTAACTTTAATTATAGTGTTATACTTTATTAAAGAAATATTAAATAGTATATTAAATAATAAGTATTTCTTCTAAATTTTTATGAGAAAATTAATAGAATTTTCCAAATTACATAAACTCGATATTTTTAATTATAATAAAAGCTATGATATAAATATAAATAAAATTAGTCTAAATAATTTGCGCATGCTTCAAATTAATTTATTCTATACTTGTCAATGGTTTGGTAGGCCAAAAATAATAATTCGTTAGTTAAGATTTATTTCATAGGATTTTTCTGAGATTATAAATTTAATCATTTTAAAAGTTGTATAAATATAATAACATATGAACAATTTAAAAAAGTAAATTAAAATAAAATATATATATTATAAAAGATTGTTTTTGAAGAAAAATGTCGATACGTTATACACACGCAGTTTTATGTCGAATTCCGTTATCTTTACGAAATTGTGGTGAAGTACAACTTGAAGAAGCAAAAAAACAGCATCAGGCTCTTGCTGAGCTATTACGAGAATTAGGTATTGATGTTATTGAAATGCCTCCTGATGAAAATTCGCCTCTATGCGTATTCGTAGAAGATATAGCTATCGTCTGTAATGGTATTGCCCTTATTGCACAACCTAATGAACCATCTCGTCATAAGGAAGTAAGCAATAGAAGTTGTACTTTTTTTAGAAAAATTTTTCGTTTTATTTGAAATTATAATTTTTAAATAATAAAGTTACTACTATAAAATAAAAAAATTAATATATTAAAAAAATTATGTATGACTTAAGTATTCCAACTGACATTGTCAAATTATAAAACTAATAAAATTTATTTTAAACTGTATTCATATTTTTCGTTTGTATTATTTAAAGATTTAAAGATAATTTAATGATATTAAAATTATGTATCTTGAATATTTTTTTATAAGTTTGTATACAATTTGTGTTTTATTAGATTTTTTTAAAGTTTTGAAAAGTTCAATACTAAATAATTAAAAAAATTAATTATTCTGTTAAAAAGGATTATTACATAACAGAAATATATTAAAACATATAAGCTCTATAAAATTGATCTAATTTTAATATTATATTATTTGATGTTTTTCTATTAAAAAATATAAATTGTAGTCACTAAATTAAATTAATTGTATATTTTAGATTGAAATAATACAAACAGTGCTTAAAAAAGAATTAGAGATTCCACTTATAGAAATATCTGATAAAAATGCGTGTTTAGATGGTGGTGATGTTTTATTTACAGGTTTTTATATTTTCAAGTATTTATAATATAAGATTTTTTTTAATTCAAATATTTTAATACAGTAAATTAAAAAAATTTGTTCTATTTTAGGGAGAGAATTTTTTATTGGATTATCTCGGTTTACAAATGAAGCTGGAGCAAGAGCAGTTGCTGCAGCATTTCCAGAATATCCCTGTGTACCTATTAAAGTAAACTGAAAAATATATAAGTAGCTATCATTCATTCTGAAACTTTATAGCAATTTTTTTTATAATATTTTCTTAGTAATACTAAATTCTAAAATATTTAATATCATATATTATTTAAACTATTTTATATAGAAATATATATATATTAAAAATTAAATATTAAATTATTTAGTTTACTATTTTGTAATATATTTAAGATAAATAAATAAAGAAGTTTTCCACAGCTCTAATTCAAATAAAAAATCGTGAAATCAATATAAATTGCTGTTCCACTTCTTGCATATTTTTTAAAATCAATATTTTGAATATAATTTATATTATTAATATTATTTCAAGAATAATAGTTAAATTAAGAATATATATCATTTGATTATACAATTTTTTTTTTAATATTAAATTTTTAATCATTTACAAGCTAATATATTTATAGATTAGAATATTTATTATTATGCACTTATATATCTTCTTTCTATTATTATTACGACATTTAGTAAATGATTTTAGGTACTATTAATTACAATTAACAGAGACAATTTGAGTATTTATAATTACTTCAAATTGTGGTAAACTGTGCATTGATTGATATTTACTTATACTGACATAAGGTTAATTATTTCAGCTCACACATAATTTTTTTATTATTTTTGTGTTTTTTAAAGAGTATCACAAGATCAAAATACAAAATACTTATTATAATTTATTTTAAGAATATGCTAGAAAATAACATACTTTAAATAATTTTAAGCAACTATTAATGTTTTGAAACAAATTTAAAAATAATTTATTGCATATTTATTTGTTACGCGATTTGCTATTCATTTATAAATTGATATTTTAGTAATAATATTAAATATTTATTAATCATGATATTTTTGACGATATATTTTTTTCTTTATATTTGTACGGTATAAAATTTAATATTTAAATTAAAAATAGTAAAAACATCTGGACTATGGATGATGAATTATGGAAATGAAGATTCAAGGAAAAAACAATATAACTGTAAAAATTAAATATTAAATGTATATTAAATGAAAATATATGCTTTGGAGGTAACAAAAATACATAGGAAACAACATTTCAGAGGTTAAATCTGCTTCAATAAGAAAAGCTAGGAATTAAATTAGAACAATTTTATTTTATAGATTTTATAAAAATATAAATCAATTAAAAATTATAGCTACAAATTAGCACACGTAAAATATTTATATAATTATTTTACGCATGTAGTTATAAAATAGTGAAAATATTAATATAAGTTGTTCAATCTATCACTAAACATATTTCAGTATAAATCTTGTAAAATATGAAAATTTTAAGAATAGGCGCTAATTATTAGATTATTATTTGCATGTGTGTGGTTTTTATTTTATGTAAACAATAGATTGGGTATTGTTTTGGTGTTCCAACATCTTCCAATAACTTACTTCTTCTTACAAAGTTAGTTTACTAATTAATAAATATATATATTCAAAATGTTTTTGTAACCTTTAATATATGTACAATAATGATTTATAAAAAATTCATAATACACATCTGATATCAAGAAATGCCAACTTTGTTCTTTTGAAGTTGTAAAATTAAATACGATTCAAATTAACTTAAATTAATTTAACATTTTTCAATTTAATATTAAATGAATAATACTTTTTAATAGGTAGCAGAATCTAAACGTTTGAAAGCTTTAGTAACAATGGCAGGATCTGAAGTTATTTGTGTTGGAGCAGGCAAAGAATCACAAGAAGTGCTTAAGGTAATCCTTTTATATATTCAACTTTAAGTTAATGTTACATTTGTATTTAATTAATATTCGAGTCATTTTTAAGTAACAAATTATGTTAATTTTTAGAACTAAATAGTCAATTTCATATAAAATTTAATGAATAGATTTTATTTATGTCCTTTGGGTTACAAAATAATTTAATTTTTATTTATTTTTAAATACATCATTTTTAGATATATATCATATTTAACAGCATATAATATTATTCAAAAGATTTTCTATTAATAAAAAAATGTTATTTAGCGAATTGAAAGGGAAGCAACATACAACTATCAAACCTTAACAGTTCCTGAAGATGAAGCTGCTAATGTTCTATACATAAATGGAACATTAATTCATAGAATATGTGATGAGATACCACTATCAAGTAAAGTTTTTGCAGAAAAAGTAGAATTTCCAATAAAAGTATTATCTATCTCTGAACTAGCAAAACTAAGTTCAGGTTTATCGTCGTGTTGCTTATTAGTGCATAGACCAAGGCACATTAGAAACATTTAAATATTCAAAAATAAAAAAAATATAACGTCTATAAAAGTATTTTGTAAATCTTTAATTTATTACTTTATCTTATTGTTTTATTTAAGAATTATTTGATTGATAAAAAAGGAAATATTGTAATTACTTATTGTAAACTTCAAATATTTCTCTTATTTTCAATTATATGTGTGTAAAAGATGTTTATTGAATATATGAAATAATATATTTGATATAAATAAAATATGCTTTCAAAATTTTTTATATAAAATAATATAACCAATTTTTCTTGTACCCTGTAAATAACATTAAAACTGTTTCAAATTATGATTTATATTTAATTTATTGATATTGCAAAATAGTATGTATAAATAATGTATGAATATTGTATGATGTATGAACAATGTATGAATAATAATATAAATTAATTGTAATATAAATTTTTTAAATTATGATTAAAAGTAATAAATATAGAAAAAAAATATAAATTAATTAGTTTATTTTAGTTACATTATAATATTTAAATATTTCATTTAATATCAAATAATTGTTTACATTAATCTGTTTTATATTAAGTTCTATTAATTTAATATTGGTTAATTATCAACAAATTGTTTTTTGTAAATGTATTTGAACAAATTGATAGTCTGCCCTATCATTTAACATTATACCATTTTCATTCTGTATTTAGAACAAATTTTTATCAGAATAATAAATTTTATTTTTTTCTCTTGTAAGATACATAATATTTGGGTACTGTACATATTAGGATCATTTATAATATTTTTATCAATTTCATACACATATCAAATTTATAACCACACATTACTGAATAATGTAACTTTATTTATGTGCATTTAACTATGCATATTATATTTTTCTTTCTCTAACAAATATAAATTAAAAGTAATTAAAAATTAAAAAATGGTTAATTTATTAAAAATATATTAATATATATGAAAATTATAAACAAAAATAGATCTATATTATTTTACTGTAGAAAATTCAAGCTCTAATTATTAATTAAAACATTAATAAACATAACATTTCTGAGCAGCTTTAGCATTTATCATTTGTAATATGGTTTTCATTGTTCCATGTGATGCTATATCAAATGTCCTTGGAAAATCTAAATCAATTGGTCTATTAAATATTTTCTGTATAATTTGTTCCCATTTCACAGGTGAAATTATTTGTTTTATTAAATATTTTCGGTTAAGTTTTTGATTGAAAGAATATATATTTCCATTATAATTTGAATAAACAGAGGTATTTGGAAATTCTAGTTGTACTTTGTCTAAAGCTTGGGTAAATGCTTTCAAAGCTGGTTCCATTAGAATAGTGTGAAATCCACCAGATACTGGAAGTTTTTGTACTCTTCTTAAACCAAGTTCAGCACTATGTTTTTGTATATAATTGAGAGCTTCATTACATCCGCCAAAAATTTTTCCTTGTGTATGTAAGTATATTGCAATCCTTAGAAAAACTTTTGTATTAATAACAAATTTATACAGAATTTTATACATTCTAAGTTATTTTTTATAAAAAAAATTAGTTTTTATATAAAATTTTTAGGTACTTATATATATTTTTAATAACTACATTTTTTTACTTTTGTAATTAGATATTTAATTGTAATAATTATAATAATTAATATTATATGATAAAAGATTGTAAAAAAATTAATTTATTAAATTATACTTGAATTTTTAATTTATAAAATTCAACATTTTTAATTTGATTACAAATTTTTTTATAAATTTATTATACTATTAAAATAGTACCTGCAAACTGGGTGTGAAGCTCCGATATTTATTGCCCACTTTTCAGCTTGTTTACATATTTGAAATACATTTGATGAAGGTAAACAGTAGCAAAAAAGCATTCCTTGAGATGATATTTCTGAAGCCTGTTGCATTGCAGCACCTCTCACTGCAACTAATTTTAAACCTTCTTCATAAGTCATGGCTCCAGAAAAAATTAATCCAGTAAGTTCACCAATGCTATAACCAGCAACAGCTACACATGATTCAATTGCTTTTGGTCTCTCATCATGTAATTTTTCCAAAGCTGCTAATGACATTACTACTGTAGCTGGTTGGTTAAATTCAGTTTGATCTAAAATATTTTGTGGGCCGTTCAAACAAATTTTCAAAAGATCAAATCCTAAAATTTCATTTGCTATTTCAAATAACGTCTTTACTTTTGGAAATTTTAAATATTCTTTTACTTTTCCTGCTTTAATCAATCCTTGTCCAGGAAATAAAATAACTGATGTATCAGACGGATTTATTTTGGATTTTTTTGTTTTTTCCTTTAAATTAATAGCAATTGACGAATAAGGTGTTGTTGCCCATTCTTTATTACATGCATCAGAGAAGGTTGTAGAATCATTTAGTGATTTAGCAATTGAGGGTTCTTTTATGTCAGTTGATAAATAACAATTATTTACTTTAATAAAACATCTATTAGAAATGGAATATTCTAATTTTTGTACAATTGAAAAATTTATTATTTTAAGATATTGAAAAATTTGAAACATTTTATATAATTTAATTATCCTACGCGTGATAATAAATTAAACTTTATATTACGTTGTAAACTTAAATTGTATAAGATCCATAAATACATTTACTCGTGTTCAGAATTCATGTACTTCAACTATACCTAACCTACAGAATATTTATTCTTATTAGAATTCACATAACCTTATGCAGTAAAACGCATTATTTGATTTTGTAGATCGAATTTTTTAACAAGAAAATTATTTGATTGTAGTAGTAATTAATGTTATTAAGTTTATATATTATTTATAATACAATGCAAAAACGTCAAAAAATATTCATGCAATTATATAAAAATCATGTTTGTAAATTAACACCGCTGTTATTAAAAACATTTACGAATAAAAAATCAGATAATATGCTATTAAATAAAACTACAATTGAAAAAAATATCAATCAAAATAATATAAAGCATTCATGTAAACAATTTATGGGATCAAATTATATTGAACATATATCGAAAAAAGTTATAAATAAACAAGAAAATACAAATAATACATATTTTGCTAGTTTACTCCGATTTTCTAAGTTTATACAAGTAAAACTTAGTTTTATTAATACTATGCGTAACAATACTAAAATATTAAGAAAATTAAAAATAATTATTTTCAGCTAGGTAATATTGAAGAAAAAATAGTCACAGGGAAAATATTTCAAGTTGTAAATAATGATTTATATATTGATTTTGGATGGAAATTTTATTGTGTATGTTCGAATCCAATGCAGAATAATAGGTATATCAATTTTTTAAATTAATAAAGTAACAACAATGATATATTTTTATATGATTTATTTAGCAAATTTGTTAGAGGAGCAACCGTTTACCTACAAATTAAAGATTTAGAAATATCTACAAGATTTCTAGGAAGTGATGTAGATACAACTATTTTGGAATCAGACTGCATTCTTCTAGGATTAATAAAAGAAAACAAATTAATTATATAATATATTATTTTAATTTATATTATTTACTTTTGACAAATATAAATCAAATTGTTTATGTAAGTACTATTATAAGTTAAATAGCGTAAAATATTAAATCAGAAATCATAATAGATATTATTGTTTTACATATGCTTTAATATTCTCTGATGAATTAAGTGTTAAGAAAATACAAAATTAAAAAATTATTTTTGTTTATTTAAATAATAAATGTTATCGATTTTTAAATATAATAATAAAGAAATAAATGAAGGTTTAATTCTGTTTGGATAAGAAATGTCTTATATGAAACAAAATTGACGAATTTGAGATTAATTTTGAGTAAATTATTGTTTTTGACTTATGATTCAAATTTATCATATTTTCAAAAAATATTCAACAATTTCTAAGATATAATTTATCATAAAATTTTAATTTTTAAAAGTTTAATTTATCTTTTCGAAATTAGTCATCAGACAGAAAATCCATAATATAAAATTATATTTAAAATCTTAAACTGTATGCATATAATTTTTATCATTTTCATAATCATTTTAAATTATGAAAACGATGTAATTCTAAAGTGAAAAATATGAAATTCAACACCTGTTCTCTAAAAGTAGCTCGAATTATTTAAAGTAACGTATTTTAGTATTTTTAAGTTAAAATGTTCTAATGTTCAACGATTATTAAATAAATAAATATTATCAAATACATATTATTTATATTTATGGATAATAAACATACATAGAACGTAGTACATCTATATACTTATTGATTTATTTCTATTTAGAATTTTATTATTGATTAATTTCTGTTTAGATACTTATTATTGATTTATTATATAGAAGTGTATTCATTATATATGTAATGAAGATATTTACATATATGAAAAATATTTTCAATCAATGTATATTTTTATCAGAAGCATCAATACAGTGTTACACAGGCACTAATGATTGATATATTTTGTTATTAATGTTCTACATATTTATATGTATGTTATATTAAATAATCTGAAGAATATTTTTTCATATTTACATTCATTAAAGTAATTTCTAGAAAATTCTTTTTATTTTTGTATAGAATAATTGCAAATCAGAAAAATACATTATCTTAATTTTATTACTTATGGTTTTCCGAAGTTAAACGATTAATTTCGTTATTTTCTACCATTGAAAAATTATTTCAACCAACACTGAAATTTTCAATAACCTAAGACTATTGAGGACGAGATAATATAGAACCTTTTACAAAAATGGAATCCCCTGGGTCAATGCTCACAATTTTTTTTATTAATGCTGAAGAGTTCCAAATTATTTTGAAATTTCGAAGTTTGCTGGATAATAGTGGTAATTCTTAAATAATTCTGATTCTTAAAAACACAAAAACATCTGAATATAAGATTTGATATGAATTTAAAAATATTTTCAATTTGCAAAACAATTAAGAAGGCATTAAATATCAAGTTACAATTAACTTCGATATTTATGAATTGCATACATACATGCAAATAATACGGCATGTTCTTAATAATTATTTGATTTATTGTTAAGTATAATACGAGTAATAAAATGTCCAGCAAAATTGACGAAAAATTAAAGGTCCGATAATTCGAACTATGAATGTTTTTGAGAAATTATATTCTTTCAAGATTAAATCTGAAATTAAATAAAATAAATATTGAAAATATCTATAAACTGACAATTTTTGCGTAAAATGATAAGGTACGTTAAACTTAATAAGCAATAAAACAATAGTAATAAATTGGTAGAATTAATTAATCAGATATTATTAAGACAAAATGTACTCAAAAGTTGTATCAATTATTAAATCCTCAAATTAATAGAATTATTTATAAACTTAGGAATATGTGGCAATATATATTTTATATACTATTAACTAAAAACTTTCTAAAGTAAAGCATGAGAACAATTTACTTGTTATTAAGTATAAAGTATAATTTATATTGATGGATTTTTAAATTAATGATTAATGATGACCTAGATTTAGTGAAATTTTTTTTAAAATTTGAAATAAATTACATAACTTGAATTGCGTAACTTCAATGATTCTTAAATTAGACTGTTTTATGTTTGCTTAAAAAGAAAACATCTATTTCTTATATAGTATATATTCTATATATTAAATATATATATATATATATATATAGAATTTACTGAGTAAGGTAAAAAATAAAAATGAATTACTAATAGGGTTAAAATGTATTTGTAAATTCATTTTAAATAATTAAATTACATTTATAAACGTGATAAATCTAATGAATTGTGAAACACATATTTTAAGTAAAAATAAAAATTGTATTATTTATTAAGTGGTAAAATTAAAAAACTTAATTATTTAATTTTGTTAGATAATATATATTGTAATAAATGTATTATAAACTGAAAAATTTAATAATTTTTCAATAACTTAATATATTCTTTTATAATTTTTATTTCTATTAATTTGTTGTATTAATACAAATTTTCTAAAACATAATTTAATAAAATTTTAATTTGATAGGTGTCCATATTTATCTCTTTACTTAATACGATAAATATATCAATCAATGAATAGTATTTGTATCTCAATTAATTTTGTGTCAAATAAAATGAAATTTTTATGTTAAAGTATTTAGTGCTATTTTATTTTTGGGTAAATAATGGTTATAAAATCAATATATAAGTTTATAATTGATGTCTTATCACAGCTGTTTTCTAAAGATTGTATCTTATAAAACGATTTTTGAATATTATGTTTATATTACATAATATTACATTTTTATGTTTCTTTATAGTAGCAATATATTCTATAATTGGTTTGAAAAGTAATTAACTATGGATGATAAAAATATCTTAAATGACGAGTCCCTTACAATCATATACAAATCCACAGCACACAATTACTACATTATTGAAGTTTCATTACCGTTCAAAAATTTTAAATTGCTCATTTATCATTATGTTTGTAATCACAAACTTCAATATCAGATTCTGATGAACTAGAAATATCTACTGTTTCATTTTTTAGTTTTTGAATGTCTAATACAAAAACATCATCATCTTCCCCTGAACATACATCTATTTCAGATTCTATATCATAATCAGATTGTTGAAAATTAATTTCTGGTATATTTGTAATTTTAGTTGATGTATTTGAATGGTTAAGATTATTATTTTCATAATCGTTTTTAAGTTCCTTTTGTATATTATTTTCAGTGCATACACTTTTATTTATTTTTATAATATCTTCAGGTACTGCGTCTGACATGAAATTAATTATTTTTAGATTTGATAACATAGAAGAATTATTAAATTCAGTTTGATATAAATGAACTTCAGGTAATTTTTTAATGGTATCATTCATATTAACTTTTGGAATTAAATTATTTAATAATACATTTTTTACATCCACAGGTTTGGTATCATTTATAACTTCGATATCTTCATATGATGAAAGAAAAATATCTTTAGATCTTAACAATTCAAATCGAAAATTAATATAGCTTTCAACATTTTGAAAACAAACTTGACATAATCTTTGTGGCAGTTTCTCTTCTTTTATTTCCTAAATATCAAATTATTAATTGCTTACAATAATAAATGTAATTCTAATAAAAATATATAAATAATTACTAAATATAAAGTTCTAAATATATATTTAATATTTGTAATCGATATTAAAGATTTAAAATCATTACATTATGTTACTTATAATACAAAATATAAAGATATACACACCTTTTGTCCAGTAATTAACTCTATACCACAACTTAATTTCATGTACCATTTGTTATAATAAGAGTCATAGCAATCAAAAGATTTGATTAAGGAGGAATCGTCAAATATATTTCTTCCATTATTTTCATTAAACAATGGTCTCCGACAACCACGACATACAGCAGATGGCTAATAAATGTAATCATCAATGTTGAATGTTTTCTTAAATTATATATTTATAATAGGTTTAAATTCAACATTAAACAAAATTTGTACATTTAAAAAAAATAGTATAAATTACTACTAAATATATTAAAAATATTGTCTAAAAAAATTTTCTTTTGTAAATTTTTATATTAATAAAAATATCAGTAATTTAGAAAATCACTAACTCAAAATAGTATTCAAATATGATCTTACCATAGCTGAATTTAATATTGATTTTACAGTATAAAATTTAAATAAAGCATACGTTTATATAATTATAAAAAAGGAACTTAAGTATCATTGTAAATAGGTAGACATTTTCTGTTTCTTTTTAAAAAAACCCTTAGTACTTGTTCAGCAAAGCGTAACATTGATTGGTTATTATGTGCCAAATACCATAAATGCAATCATCAAATCAGCATCCATGTATTCTAAATTTTCTAAAAATTATACCATTTTAAATATTAGATAAAACAATAATTTATATTATTTACTTATAAAATTTCAGAATCAACGCCGATTTTAATTATAAATTATTTTCAATATTATTTATTGTAACACGAGACATAGTAATAATTATAAATTTAATTAAATATTTTAGTAAATCTAACTTCCAAAAATTTGTTACTCGTTATAAAATTAGAAAAAATTGACATTTAATTTTAGTATAATAAATAATTTTATAGTAATTGTCACTGTCTGAATAATTTTTTATCCGATGCTACTGCGTATTCTTTTTTCGTTTTATTTCATTAAATCATATGAGCCTATCAGCAATATGCAATTAATGTTTATAAAAAAAAAATTAAAAACAATTAATTTTAATATTTTAATAAAAGAAAATGATAAACTTTATTAGGTTAGTATAAAAATACTTTGTTTAATAAATCACTGCATATTGTGCTAACTCAATAAAATACCTAATATTATTTTATATATCATAAATTTATTGCAAATATTTTTCCGCGCATCAGGTTTATAAATTCTATTACCATAGATCAACAATGATGAAGAATTTGATAGTTGATTGATGTTCACAAAACTAATAAACGAAAATATTGTATATATAATTAAACCAATTATTTGTTTTACCAAGTTATATAATTAAAATTATAATACAATTAAATACTCCGTTATATAATACACACGGGTACATATTACCAACGATAGAAATTCTTCTATTCATTATTCTTTCTGATTCTTCATTTGAATAAATAAATTATCGATTCTCTTAAATATAATTCTATTACTACTAGTATACATTTTTATACCTATTGCCAAACTATCTTATTCTTTTAATTGCTTCGATATAATAAACATAATTTATACTATGAAGTGAATTGAAGAGACAAATAACATAATCTATAAATTATTATCTTGTAGAATTAAAGACGAAATGAAAGTGTTATATTTTATTATTTTATTGTAAGCGGATAAATACTGAATAGTATTATGTAAAAAGGAAATATCCAGTTTTATTATTAATTATAGAAATTTTATTAAAAATAACATAAAAAACTATTTCAGTCTTCTTTACTTGGTCAAAAATTGTACGTAGATAAATTAAAATGAATCACAAACAATATAAAAATAATGAGTAACACAATATTTACATTAATTTACCAGAAAGCAAATTTGATACAATTTCATAATTTAATAACTACAATTATAACCCATACAATAAAAATATTGTCTATTGATTATTAATGTGTCTCTAAAATATTATTCTAATGCAAGACAAACTTTATCAATAATAAAGCAAAATAAATTTAATAAAAACATACATATGAATTAAGAGAAAAGGCTAACGATAACAAAATTGTTAACAAAATGCCATATTATTAGGCAAACTTATAGCTATAAGACAAGTCTAGATAATTTTATATGAACTATTATAGATATAAATGGGTTCATTCGGTTAGACAGAATGATAAATTAGGCAATAAAGAAAAATGCATAAACTGAAATATACAAATATGTCATTTGTACCCAAGAGATATTTTGAGGCATCCATAGATCTTAAAAACTAATGAAAGGACATTATAATTTCTCGATCAATTTTTTTACAAAATATTCCAAATTCAGTTGAATGCAAAGAATATATACATTCGGATGTATGATTAATATATATAATATTGTGGTTGAAATATATATGATTATTAATCATATATTTCATTCATAACATTAAAACTATGTGAAACAATAGTTATAAGATAAAATAAACAAAAGAAATACCGTATAAATACAGCATATGGAATTCAAAATATAAAAAAAGAAAAATCGAAGATGACACTGGATTGCAAATCTTCCAATATGAGTATAATATATAGATAAATCAACCGACATTAAAGTAATACAAATTATTAAAGAATGATAAGAAATCAAATAATGAAAGTATAAATAAATTCATCAACGCAGACAAAATAATATACAGAATAAAATATGATTTTCAGTTGATAAGAAAATAACCAGACTCTTTTCAGAAAATGGGCCATTATTACCTAAAAACTTAACAGAAAAGTAATTACATGAAAAATAAAAAATAGATAAACATAAAGCAGATATAATTGAATGACTGTTATTGTAACATTCAGGGATCTCTAAGATGATAAAAGTAATAAGAGATGGTGTCTAGTCACAGATTTTCAATAAATTCATGAAATAGGTTTGTATAGTTATGATTTATTACCATTCATAAATAATACTTAATAAATAAATGTAATAGATAATAGTTATGAACTTTTCATGGGATTTTCTTTATATTCTTTAGCTAAACAAAATTTTTTTTAATCAATACTTTTTTCAGCATTTCCAGAATTTCATAGATATTTGCAATTAAAGAATTCAATTAAAAATGAATCTCTAATAAGAGCTGTGGAATGAATATTGCTTACTTATAATAAAAATAATATACCGAACCATTATTCGGGATTGAAACAGTTGAAAGCGGAATTCAAAAGTGGAAGAGGTATAAGCTGCCGGACATTTATGTTAAAAACAAAAAAATGTAGCAAATTCTGGAAATTTCCTATGCTGAAAACTCGAATATACGATTATAAATCGGCATAGCAACAGGCATCGGTACACTACCGGCGTCGCGCTGCTTCTACGAAAAATATTTGAGCAGCGCCTGATGCGCAGCTCTTTTGCTAGTTATAAATTACGGAGTCTCCATGACGGGCTCACTTTTCTTTCTTCAAGCGTCCAAAGTCATCACTCACTGTAGCTCAATGTATACAAATTAATCATCAAGTAACAAGCAATCTAATAAACCAATCATGACGCCACACAATCAAAATACATTAAACTATATTTAAGAAGTGTTTGCGCAAGCATAATTCAAGAGTGAAATTAACAAAAGTATAACTCCAGTATTTATCAACGTATCTCAACATAGATTAAACAGCGGCGGCTCATCACGCACACATGTAAAAATAATTGAAGAAACTTAATACATAAGTCACTTATACTCTCCATTCTATAACTATTAACTATTATTACATTATTGTATTTAATAAAGGAAAGACAAAGATATACTATTTGTAGAATTGAATAATTGCATTTGCCTCCTCCACTTGCCAACAACACTTCCACCCAACATCACAGGGAGGTTTTCAATCTGATCCCAGACAATCATATAATAATACGATTCATAAAAATGAATAGTAAAGCTTTAGAAGTATAAGACAATTTTACATTACATACAATATATTACTTAGAAAAAGCAATGGCTTTCAATTAACTGTGAAAATAAATAATGAAATGTTAAACTACTGAACTTTGATTAAGGAAAACAAACAAAGACGGATCCTTTATTTACGTAAATACCCCAAGAGATAGAAATTATGCTAACCAATAAATAGGCTAAATTTCTTTTTGGATATTTCATGTAATAATTTCGGTAAATAAAGGAGTAGGTTTTGGTAGTTAAATAATAATAAAGAATTAAGTACAGAGTATATATCAACATTTAAAAACCAGCGATGACCATAAATATGCATATAAAAGCACCAATTAATATTAATTAATAATATGAAACAGAAATATACATGAAAAAAAATTGTCTGGAAAATCAATGTATTTGCTATAAGAATACAATACTTAAATAACATATTTAATTTATTAGAAAATAATTATCTTTTTAATATTCTCACACAAATAGATAAATTACAAATACTAAACATAAAGGATACTAATTAAATAAAAAAAAACAATTGGAAACAAATTATAAAAAAATAATAAATAAACTTCATAAAGATATCAAAATAGTAATAAATAATTAAAAATAAATTATAAACAAAAAATGTTTTCTTGAAATGAAGTGTCTTACGCGAAAAATATAACGCAGAACACATAAATGCAAACTCGTTCACATGTAAAAGTGTAAAAAGTAAAATAAAAATTATATATTATAACTGCAAAACTGAAGATAAAACATTTATTCTAAACACTAAAGGAATTAAATAAGTAATTAATTAATTAATGTAAAAAATTATGCTATACGCATTGAAAGGTATTATTTATGTAGTTATTCAACTACTAAATAATCCATAAAAAATAAAATTGTATATAAAAATATATTAAACAATCATAGAACAGGTAATAAAAATATAAATATTTTCAATCTGCACTACCAATTATTGTTAGTAAAAGTTCTTGTATTTTTTAGATATTGTAATCTTTTTCTCTACTAAAAAATCACATATTTTAATATTTTACCAAATTCCATATTAATACTCTTAATACTAACCAAAAGGTGATAATGAATAGAACGAATAAAATATTATTAACTTATATTAATTAATTATAAATATGTTTGTCAATATGTATTACTTATTGAAATAAACGTTCCAAAAATCGTTATTTATATTATTAGTCATGTATTAGACTATGATAATTTAGAACAAATGTATGTATTTAGAAATTAATTTGTATGAACAAAAATTTTATAATAATATGTTTTTCAATTTTATTTTTTAAAATTGTCCTAGAAATTACAATTGAAAATAACCTGTATTTAAATAATTTATTAAATATGGATATATTAAAAATTCTTAATCATTTTTTAAAAATTGGCATTTTTATCAATTCTTTTTATTTACTCTAAAAGTTAAGATCTGATTTATAAATATATTAGTGAAGTATATTATTATTTCTTTTAAAAAATTTCATAATTACGGTAACGCAGTATTCATATTTATATGTATTAAAATTTTAGGCAAATAAATTCATTTTTCTTTTAATTAATCTATTTCATTTGATTAATGACAATTATAGAATTTTATATTCTGAATCGAAACTATTTTAATTATTAATGAAATTTAAGAGGTAGTACTTACATTTCCTCATTTGTAAATGTTCATTTTTTTGCTTTTTCTTTTTCTCGTATCAGTAATGACAATATTTTGTTTAATATGAACTTAGAAGCTGCTTTTTATATAAGTTTTAAAATGTTTTTACAATAATTATTGTAAATTAAATCAAAACATAATTATAAAAAATATAATATTAATATTAATATATTAAATATTTGTTGAATATTTTAAAATAATTACCAAAATCTTAGAGTAAGTATTCTTGTGCATGTATCAATTCTATTCAGTCAATTTTATCATTTTTTAATAATAAATAATTATTTTAAATAAATTCTGGTACTAATGATTTTAAAATAAGTTAAATAATAGTTTATATTTTACTAATATTTATAAGATCTTTTAATCCTTTAATTAAGATGTTTTCATAAAATAAAATTTTATTTCTTTAAGAAATTATTATATATCATTTTATATTTATATATTTAATTACAAATTTGAAACCTTGTAGGTTAATATTTTGATAATATAAAATTAACTCATAATGTTAACAAAATTTTTTGTACATTCTGTTAATTAATTAATAAGCTTAGCAACAAGTTAAGCAATATTTGTTCAATTTCCATCTTTGTATTTTATTGGTAATTATATTATGCAGATAAATCTAGTAATTAATTGCTGAAAGTAAAAAATATACGTTTTGTACTTTCTGACAAGAAATTTAGAAAGAAAATTATTTATATGATTTTAGTTCTTCATAAATTTAAAATACACATTACTTAAAACAGTTTTTACTAGAGTTTAAATCATAATAATTTTTATTATTTTAAGTGTCTTATAATTTTAGTTAATGTTATTGTTCAAACACTTGATCTCTGATCGAATTTAATAGTCATTTGAAGTTCTATTTAGGTTCACTATATATGTAATAAGTAATAAATATCCTTTATAAAAATACTTAGTTACAAAATAATTAACCATTTCAACTGTCTCCCTATTTTAATGAATATAAGTAAAAAAATTAAGTAAAAAATTTGTTTTCAATATTTTCAAAATATCTTTCTAATAATTAAATAACTTGAGCTTACATATACTATCTTGGTGACTGATTACTTAAAATTGGTTAATTTTTTCTGTACATTAATTTTGTTATTCAGTAGCTGTGCTATACTGCAATAAGTCACACTTTTTGTTGTTTCTCAAAGCAATTATTAAACTTATATCGAAATTAACAAATTTTTTGTTATTAATTTGCAAAATTTATTGAATTTATTGAAATTTTACAAATTGAATAAATTTGTCCTTACGCTCTATTGTTAATGAAATGATAGTCCATACATTGGATTTTTTCTTTTCTTTATTAATTATTTTATAGGCCTTTTAAGTGACTGTTATAATATACATATTTTTTATACTATATGTTAATACTATATACAAAGGTTTCGCTAAACCATTAATTCGAAAAATTAATTAAAATCTCAGCTTCTTAAAAAATATCTTTCTTTTTAAATATTTATTACTATAATAGCCTAAAAATTAAGCAATAATTTGGTGCTAATAAATTATCTTTACTAGATTTTTATTGGTCGATTTTTATGGACAAATTTTACTTATTATAAATCAATTACTATTCCAAAAGTTTGCAAGAACCAATGAGATAAAATTATTAACTGTATATTCAGATATGATTGTTAAATAATAAACTGTCGGAAATGTATGGAATCGATTAGAATTATTTCGAGTCTAATAGGAAACACCTTCCTATTGTAGGATTTCCAACTTTTTATCAATTATTGTATTTTAGAATTGAAAATGTTTAAGATACAACAGTTTGAGCCATTATTGAATAAGTAAATTATTTACAAATATTATTATAATATTTTAAATTATAATCAATATATATATATATATATAAATTTTTATTTTAAGAATAAACTTAATATATGGAAGTAAGAAGTTTTCAATCGGAGTAATAAATTGTAAAATTAATATTGATAAGGTAATTTATTTAATTTTTTTAGTAACATAATTGTTATTTATATAAATAATTTCATTACAATTACTTTATGTTAAAAAGTTAAATATTTTTTATATATTTCTGAAGATTCTTATTGCAAATAGAGGAGAAATTGCTTGTCGTATTATAAGAACTGCAAAAAAACTTGGTATCAAAACTGTTTCAGTTTATAGTGAAATAGACAAAGATTCCATGCATGTTGCACTTGCTGATGAAGCATATTGTATTGGACCAGCACCATCATCTCAGAGTTACCTAAGGCAAGATAAAATTATATCAATTGCTAAAAATGTAAAATGTCAAGCAATTCATCCAGGGTATGGTTTTTTATCTGAAAATGCTGAATTTGCTGAATTATGTCAAAGACAAAATATTATTTTTATTGGACCATCTTCTACTGCTATCCAAAAAATGGGAATTAAAAATATATCTAAATTAATTATGGCTAATGCCGGAGTCCAAATTATTAAAGGTATTTTTAATTTTATGCTAATTTTAATTTGTCTTTCTAACATGGAAAAATTGATTTATTATAATGAAAATGTTTTTTGAGTAGGATATCATGGAAATGACCAATCAAATAAAACGTTAATGAATGAAGCACATATAATTGGTTTTCCAGTAATGATTAAGGCAGTTCGTGGTGGTGGAGGTAAAGGTATGAGAATTGCATGGAATGAAAGAGAATTTTATCAAGCAATAGAATCTGCTAGATTGGAGTCTCAAAAAGCATTTGGAGATTCAGCAATTCTTTTAGAGCAATATATTACTGAACCAAGACACATTGAAGTACAAATTTTTGCAGATACACATGGTAATGTTGTTCATTTATTTGAAAGAGATTGTACAATTCAACGAAGACATCAAAAGATTATTGAGGAATCTCCTGCTGTGAGTATTAATTTACTCTTATTAATAAAATATTAAATTAGATCTAGAAACATATTTAGAAAATTTTGTTAAATGTAAAATATTATCTTATAAAATATTTTATCACTATAACGAAATATAAATGTGCTGGTAAGTAGTTACACAAATTACAAATAAATAGTGAAATATCTATGATAGTGATAATGAATAGTGAATGATTCCATATAGAAAATGAAATGAAATATGAAAATAGAGAACAAAATTTTATCTTATAGAAAAACCATTCTATTTTCGCTAAGATTATCATACTTTTTAAATATTATGACTAAATAGTATTAAAATTTTAATAGGAGATGAAATCTAATTTTATTAACTTAAAATATTTGGTTTTTTAATTTACATATTTAAGTATCAAGTTAATTATCAAGTTTAATAGCAATAAAATTAATTATCAAAAATTATAAATAATTTCTATAAACTAATAGATGTTTATTAAAATATAAAATCTTTTTATTTTATAACAATAAATCAATTAACTTTAATTACTTATAGAAGAATTGTATAATTTAAAAATTAATGATGTACAAAATTTTTATATATTATACAACAAAGTTTTTCATTAATGGAAAGTAACAAAAATATTTGATATTTGCCCATTTCAATATTATTATTAGATGGAACCATCTTAGAAATTTACTAACTTGCAGTTACTAACTTGCTATTGAACTATATATATTAGAACGAATCCAAGGCTTAAAGATTACTATGTATATGCTGTTTCATCCTTTTTTTGAAATATGGTCTTGATAAAAATAGAAAAAACAATCTACAACTATAAATTGCTAATTAATTGCTGATGAATGAATTTCAAGGTTAAAATTACTACTATTTTAACACAGAAACTTAATGCTTAAGTATGAATAAAATTTCTTAACCATTCATTACTATTTTTTAAAGTATAACTATAATATAAAATTATTTAATATAAATTTAATTAGATAATACATATTTAAAATAACTAGTTTAATTTACAAAAGGCAACTTATGTGTTATTAATAAATACATAAGTGGAACGATATCAAATAATTTATTACAATATGAACTTGATCACATCTATTAATAATCATTAATATTTTTCTTAGCACAAAATCGTTATTATATCTTATTATATAATTTCAAAAAAAATTTTTAAATTTTATGAAACATTTTATTTTATCATTATTATTTACTATTTATAAACATTATTTTATCTAAAGTAACTGTATTTAAAGAATTGTATTAACTTGTTTTTACCAAACAAGTTTAAGTTTAAATTATTTAAAATTTAAATACTTATTATTTAAATATTTAAGTTTAAATATTTTTGTTTCTAGAATGAAATAACTTATTTTAAAAAGACATTTCTTTCTCATAATATAAATAATTGATTAAATTTAAATTAACATCTGTGACGGAAGATAAAAATTTTTCTTATTTTCTTTGGCATATAGATGTAAATTCGAGCTTTAAATAATTCTTAATCACCAGATTACTGTCTTTAATTCATCATTTATTTAATATTTTTTTATTAGAAAATCAAATTATTCTATTTTGATTTTTATACTTCAAAAAATATATTCATATTGCAAACTATTATATATGTAATATGTTATTTAAAATCTCTATTGAAATTATTTATTTCATTATTTATTTAATTCATATTTAATATATTTTTTTGAATTTTTTATTTGTATTTAGTTCTTTCACAATATTTACGGTATAATTAGATCAGAGACAGTTACTATTTATTGAATGAAGAAAATTAAATCTGAATGGAACTTGACTCCTAATGAATATGCTTGATTATTATATGAATGAATTAACGATCTGTACATCTTTTCGTTTCCAAAATGCATTTCAATCCGCATAAGAGTTCATAAAGTTACTAATGTGTTGATAAAATTTTCTTTTCAATTGATAGTAGTACTTAGATCATTTTATACTGAATACAATTCACTATATAAATTAACACAATTAGAATATCAAAGAATTTTGATCTTTTAAGTTGTTCCATTAACACCATATAATTAAAACAAATTATTTCCCTCGTACAAGAAATTATATGTGTTTACTACTTATTTGTACAATATAAATTGTTATTTTCTATAAAAATTCTTATACTTAAAAAAGTACTTAATATTTGAAGGTTATTAAAATGAATCCCAAAATATATAGTACATTTAATAAAATAAGAAAGCAAAAATAGATTTGTTATTCACCATATAATTTTAAGTAATATGCTTGCTAGATTGAAGGTTGCTTTGATATATGAAAGATAATATTATATGAGCATCTCCTGGTGTTTTCTAGGTACTCAGGTATTTTCTTCTTACTACTTGAATTACATTTTTGGCATTTATAAATTCTGCAAATACACTTGTGTTCAAGTCTAAGTATATAGATTGAAACTATAATAAAATAATTAATTGCAACTCCAGCTCCATAATTCACTTAAAATCATGAATCTCATTAAATAAATTTTTTTTAATCTCAGTTTATAATTTTTAAAGCCTGGAATTTCAGAAAAACTTAGAAAAGAGCTTGGCGAAGCTGCTATTCAGGCAGCAAAATCTGTTGGTTATGTAAGCGCTGGTACAATTGAATTTATAATGGATAAATATACAAATACATTCTATTTTATGGAAATGAATACGCGTTTGCAAGTAGAACATGCAGTTACAGAGATGATTACAGGTATAGATTTAGTTGACTGGCAATTTAGAGTTGCAGCTGGTGAAGAATTACCTCTGAAACAAGAACACATTTCATTAAATGGCCATGCTTTGGAAGCTCGAGTATATGCAGAAGTAAGAATATTTAATTTTATACTATACGAATCAATTGATTTGATATATATAAATCACATTTATGTTATTTTAAGAAAACTTTAATCTCACACATTTAGAATCCAAAAGAAGGATTTTTGCCAGTCACTGGTAAACTTTTCTATTTGAATTCACCAATATTATCTGAAAATGTTCGAGTAGATACTGGCATTCGTAAAAATGATAAAGTATCAGTACATTATGATCCAATGATTGCTAAATTAATAGTTTTGGGAAAAAATAGAAACGAAGCTTTAAATATAATGCAATCTAAGCTTTCAGAATATAATGTAAGTATATAATTTAAAAAATTACTCTAATTTATTATAAATATTAAGTTTAAAATTTAGATTGTAGGGTTGGAAACTAATATAGAGTTTATTAAAGATATCTGTAAACATCCAAAGTTTAGAAATAACGAAATTCACACTGGATTTGTAGAAGAAAATTATCAAACTTTATTAAATGAAATTCAAGTACCAAATCATTTGCTAGCCGATGCAGCACTTGCACTCATTTTAAATGAAGAAGCAGAATCTTTAAAATTTTCTATTTGCACAAACGATCCATTTAATCCTTTTGCAGTTGAAACTGGACTACGATTAAATCATTCATTGGACAGACTCTTTGATTTTAAAGTTAATAATGAAAATTATGTTATTAGTGTACAATACATTGAACCAGAAGTATATCGTATGAGAATAAATTATTCTGGACAGTGGAAAACAGTAACAGGATCTTTAAAACAAGAAAATGATAAACTATTATTAAAATCTAATATTGATGGTATTGTACGAAAGTGTTACATTGTTAAAATGGGAAACGAATTACATTTATTTACTTGTGTAAGTTTATAATACATTAATTTTTTATTAATTCTAAAATTGAATTTAAATAAATATATTGTGTATATGTGTAGAAATATATCGTCTAAAAATTTTCATTAAATTATTTTAATATAAATTTTTTAAATACAAAACTACTGTAACTAAAATATTGGAGTTTATATTTGTTTATGTAACATATATAATTTAAAATTCTTCAGCATTCTTTGTCAATATAATTAATTTAGGCAAAAACCTCTCATCTACTTAGGTAAATTTAAAATAAAATGTATACTGAATAAATTAAACTATTTAACTAGTCTAAAATATTATGTACTGGAAAAGCGATGCATTGTTATACAATTAGCTTAATTTTATCTTTATTTTTATATTCTCTTTTCACATATACTCAGGATATTTATAATTTCTTAAAATATTTAAATACTACATATTTTCTTTTGGAAAAATATTGTGAATAACTACAACTCAAATTATTTTTCATTTGTAAAATGAATTATAAACATTTTATTTTCATAACAATCATTTACAGTTTTTTAATTTCGTATTATTACAATTATTGTAATATTCATCCATTTTGCAGGATAGAAGTTGGAAAGTTGTTGTTCCTCCACCAAAGTATATAAAAGAGCTATTAAACCAAAGTAGCGCATATTTTGATGTTGCAATTAGCCCTATGCCAGGTATTGTTGACCAAATATTAGTTACTGAAGGTACTGAAGTTCAAATTGGTGATCCATTGCTAATAATTGTTGCCATGAAAATGGAGGTAAGATCGTCAATTTTGTAATTGATTTAAATTAAAATTAAAAATTTATTTTCATTTTTAGTATTTAGTTAAAGCAAAATCAATTGGAATGGTTGAAAAGATTTTGTGTAAAATTGGAGAAAATGTTACCAAAAATAAGCTCTTGATAAAATTTAAAGGCGATCCTGTATAATTATTGAATTCATTTTCAAACAAAATAAATTTTAAATACATCTAGCAGACTTAATTTAAAAATTTACACTCATTTGATAAAAATTATTATTGATTAAATGAGAAATAATAAACATATTTGCCATGTATGGTTTCTTATACTTAAATCATCAAACCATATCTTATTGAAATTATTTGATGTTAGAGTTAATATAAATTTCTAATTTAATAATTAAATTTTTGTGTATTTGTAACAATAATTATGTTTATTACTGATAAGTTAACACCATAATACCAAGAAACTGATGTGTATGGATAATAGTTTTATCTTTCCAAAGGTCAAAATAGATCAGTCTGTTGCTGTTATCTATTTTATTTCTAGTCATCTTTCAACAGAAATTTTTTGAAGTTTTTAATATTTTGAATGAATTTTTCTGAATTATTACATAATTTTCTTTTGCATTCAATTATGTAAATCAATTATGGAAAATCTTAAACAGAATTTAAATATTTGTTATTAAATCTTATATTATTTGAACAAGTCGTTATCACATTTATCATGTCAATCTAGAATGCAGATCTTCACGTAATGTTCGTAAAATGTTGCTAAATATATATAAATAAATCATAAAATTACAGCTCCAAAAATGTTCGTAATAAATTACGTATGTATGATGTTGAAATACTTTCAATAAAAATATAATTATATATTTAGTAATCATAACTCATAAATTTATCTTATGAAATTAGTTTTTTGATTTCTTATTTAATGTAAATTTCATTATAAATTTCATATATAAAAAATTTTTTTTTTACTTTAAATTTAATAAAATTCTAATATGTTATTAATTTTCAACTCCAAACTACAAAATATGAATTCAAATTTTCATAAAAGAACAGGTAATATCATAAATACTTATAAGCAAGACAAACAACAAAAAATTGTTTTATCATGAAATATAATTTATATTTATTGCTATTTAAGATTTACGAGATCATACACGGTTATTAAAAACATTTTTAAAAATATCTATGTTAGATTATTAATAATATTAAAAATCATTTAAAAATTAAATTTAAATGAATGGATGATATTATATAATAGTTTTCGAAAGTTATTTTTGAAATTTCAGTATCAATCAAGAAAAAATGTGATAAATATTACATTCAATACGAAATATTTGTATATAACATAAAATGTCTCATAAATATCCGTGAGTTCGAATTCAATTTGTGAGTTCATAATTTAAACGTAAAGATAAATTGATATAGTATGTAATAAGATATTTACAGTTAAATTCACTATTACCTACTTGTTTCACTACAAATTCAGTCAATATTTACAAGTAAAATAGGAATTCATATTTCTTTCAAATCAGATTAATAGTTTGAATTTATTAAAACATTAAATGATTATATAACAATTTTAAATAAACAAAAGTAATTATTTTGTATATTCCATTATTGTGTTCAAATATTTTTATTTCTAAATTATGTACAATGTGCTAATTATTAATTAAGTACGAATGTATATAAAATTGTAGATAAATATGTAATTTATATTGTTTAAGTTACTAACAATACATTTAATTTTTATATATATTTATATATAAATATATATAAATTTTTTTTACATATAAAAATAAAATATTCAATTTGTAAGTTAAATAGATTCTTCCAATATAAAAAGAAATAAATGAAGCTTTAATTTTTTCATATAATTCCTTAATTATTTTTTACATCTTTTTATAAATATTGATTTGTTTTATTTCTTGTTAAACCTGATATTCTGATTAAACCATGTAACACAATACATGAAAAAATTGTAATTCTTAAAATTGAAACTTTGTATCTCTATTATTATATTATACTTATTATAAATTATTTTTCTTTTATAAATATTTATATTATAAATCACTTTACTAATATATATTCATATAAAATTAAAGAAAAATAAATATGTTAAAAAGAAATAGCTATTGTAATGCAGGTAAATAAATGATTTATTATTTATACATATGTGTAAGGCAAATAGTTTATTTCTAATTAGAGTACAATAATTGTTATAAATTTATTATCGAATAAAATAGTGGTCGTAGTTTGGTTAAAACGATGTTTATAAAATATGTAAATTAAAAAATTAATTTCGAATTTTTTAATGATGAAATTAAATTTTTTCATTTGATAAAACGATAATAAAATCAGCATAACGAATACAAAATAAATTTTATTAAATTAGCTTTTCTGTAATATTGTGATTAATATGTATATATTTTATATATATATGTATAATTATTTTTGATAATCTGTTCTTTGATATTACGTACCGTTTTTTAGTTAAAAGCTTATGGTCTAATAACAATCAAAATTTACATAATTTTTTCTATACTTATGATAAAAAAGTATTTTTAATTATCATTGTCATGTCGTAATATATTTAAGTATAGCATAATTTCTAGTTCATTAATATATGCCAGCATTAACTTTATTAAGTCCAAAGAATTGAATGTATCAAAGATTCTTTTATGATTGGTTTTTTCAATTGAATCATACATTCAAAACATGCTACTTAGATGCCAGAAACATAATAAGCCTGAAAAAAATTTACATGTAAATATAAAAAGAATAAAAATAATTTTATTAAAAATAATAAACTATTTGTAAATGCATTAAGTTATATAATACAAATTTTAATAACATACCATTTGCTATATAACTAATTTTTGCAATGCAACTTAATATAACTATAATTATATAAATGCAAATAATTTAAATATATAAATAAAAAATTTAGAAATTTAACATAGATTTTACTTACCGAAAACTTATAGCTTTTGCAGCAAGAAGTCTGTTACATTCAGCAGTATCTGGTAATGGTAAAGGTAAATATGGGCTTTCGTTATCTTGCTCTGTAAAATCAAATCTGTGAATTCTGGATTGCACCTTCATATCACTGAAAGGTCCTTTTAGAATAAGATAATGAAGTGATAAAGGGCAAGTGGTCTTTGTTTTTAGAATCAACTGAAAGAAATGTTTAAGTGCAATTTATGATCTAAAAGATTAATCTCCTTAATAATTATTATGAGATTAGCACATACTTGATAAGTCATATCACGTTCAGAACTCTGTGTTGGATCTCGTTGACTATTATTTATTCGTGCAGTCACTACCCACTGATTATTAAATGCAGTAAATCGTGAAGTTTCATAAAATAATTTATGAACAAATTCATCTGTACGATATGGTTTCATTTGTAAATCTGAATGTTAAAAAATTCTTAATTTTATTTAATAATTTAAATATTATATAAAAAAATTGAAATTATATTACATTACCATTGAAAGTAATTTTTTCATATGAAAGAAGATCAAAAACATTGTCAAAAAATTTACGTTCTTCTAAATTTTTCGCGTCGATATCGCGTAATGCCTCCATTACATCAGCTCCTGTACGATGAGGATGTACACAATGTGCTTCATGCTCTGGACGTTCATGATTAGGACCTCGCCAAGGACATCCAATTCTGTTATATTTACAGCTTGATATCCTACAACCATAATATGTTATACATTACAAAATTAAGAAGAAATATATTAATAATGGTATTAAAGCTAAAATTAATAAATGGAGCGTGTAGAAATTATAATTAATTATCATAATAGCAATAATAAACAAAATATAAGAAATATGTTGTACAATAGAGAAAATTGCATTAAGTATAATTTTTATAATATAATTTAAATAAAATGTATTCATATATAAAAGTTATGTAACAGTTTTTTTAGTATTTGTAATATTCTTTTATTGACAATATTTTTAAAAGTTTACCTTTCTTCACACATTGTTTCTTCATGGCGTTCTAATGAATTTCTTGGAAATTCTTTTGCACAATACTGACATTCAGCTGGTAATTCTGAAACTGCTTTTTCAACAGCAAGATTTCGAGATGCAGAAGTCTTGCTAATCTCAATTCTGCAGTTGGGACATGTTGCAAGCTCATCTCGAAGTCTAGCATCAGCAAGGACATGGGTGAAGCAACCAGCGCACATTAAATGACCATTAGTACACTGCGAACATTAATGTAAGTACTTTAAATCTCAGTAGAATATATTTGATACACAGAAAGTATTTTTCAACAAATGATATGAATATTTTACTAATTCTCATCAAATTAAATAAGTTACTCAGTTTTTAAACTAAATTGCTAATATAAAAATTAATGATAGAAATGTGATTGATAGCACGCTAATAAGATTTCTTACTACTTATTTTAGAAACATTGGGCTAATTGTTTATTTTGCTCCCATAATTTTGGGAAACCCATTAAGAGACATAAATCAACATATAGTATTCAAATTAAATTATGTTTATTACCATTACTTTGATGTTTTATAACCTGAAACACAAAACAATATGGGTATCATTAATATCTTGCTTAGCTTAGTTAATCCAAAAGTAAAATACATTTATTCTTCCTTTTATTTGTCAAGTGACAAGCTAAAGAATAAATTTTTCATAAAAATGTTCAATTTCAAAGAACATATAGGAAGGGGTAAATATAAAAAAGGATAAATATTATGAGAGGCAGAAAATAGACTTAAAATAATTAATCACTTTTAAATTTATTTTATTTAAAAAAGTTTTAGACTTACATGATAATACAAAAAAATACCATCTCATGAACACCTTATCAATTATTTTTCATTCATTCTTTCGCTACATAACATACACTTTATTTTTAATATTCGCATTGTCATTTAATGTACACTAACGCAAAATCTTAACCTTCATATATTTTTAAATATAATGTACATTATATACTTATTAAGAAATCGTAAATAAAATTGTTTATAATATATAGTGTTATTATCAAAAATGTATTAACTAAATTGACTGATAATTAGTGAAATTATATATATATATATAAATTAAATTTTTTTAATTTAATAAACAATAAATATGAATTTAAAGTAATATACTAAAGTAATATCAATTTCTCAGATAGAAAATATAACAACTTCGTTTAAGTTTTGCTAAAGAAATTACTATGTATTATTATATATGTAAATTACTATATATTTATTATAAATAATATTGTTGATTTTAAATATACCTTAAATACAATATAAGAAAAAAATTAAAGAATAATTTTATTTAGAATGAACAATATAATATTTTCAATACAAAATTAAATTACAATTATTATTAAATGGGAAAAATATATTTTATTAGTTAAAAATTATGTTAATATAAACTCACTTACCTTATATTTAACTTAAAAATTGTGATACATATGTATATATCATATTTATGAGAGAATTTGTAGGACATATATTATTGTTCATTACGACTCTTCAAGTTTGTTTTAGAACTATTTTATTTGATATTCATGATTTTTTATTAACATATACATTACTTAAATTTTAAGCATAATCTTAAGAGTAAATAATATTATATTTAGATTTTATATAAATTGGATAGTCAATTATTAAACAATATATTTGGTCTTTTTTATTATATTTCTTAATGAAAATACCATATACATATGTATTTAACAATATAAAATTCATTTGGAAATTCTACATTTTAAAGAAATGGAATAAAATTTTTATAATATACAATATAAAAATTTATTATTATAATATAAATAAAAAAATTCATTTTATAAATATATAATTTAGTGTTTATACAAACTATTTTTGCCTAAATTTAAGTTTATGAAACTCTAAGGACAAATTAGGGTAATTTATTATAAATAGAACAAATACAAGTAATTAACTCAAAAAGTTTTATCAACAATATATAAACAATTATTGTATTAATAAAAATTTATTTATGTATCAAGAAAATTTCCCATTCCCAACTACCAAAAATAGATCAGTGAATCGTAAATAAATGTTATTTATATCTTATAAACTGGTCTATTTGAATAATTGTTTAATATTTTCTTTTTATTTAGAGTTGACTCAGTTTATAAATTAAAATTAGATGGTATGGTTTTGTGTTAATATATCAGTTTCCTATTTTTTTTTTTTTTAACATTTAAATGATAATTAAAATATTATGTATATGTATAAATATATTTAATATACATGTTTGTACACATATGCTTTTGTTTAAATATAATGTACATTGTTCAAACATGCATAAGACTAATTGGAATAATACTTAAGGTTAATTTAAAGTAATTTAAGAATAACGCTACTGTAAAACACATTTGCTTATACATCCGCTTGGAAATAATAAAATGGATATTATTTGAATAATAAAAATTGCTAATACATAAATAGATATTTAATAACATACAATTAAGGAATTAAAAGTTAGGTTATGTTATTTACATACTTTCATATAGAAACGATTCACTACTACAGAAATATGCACAAAATTTCTTAAAATAAAAACTAGTATGTATATAAGATGTTTAATAAAAAATCAAATCAAATTAGACTAGTTTATGAATACCTGATAAACAGCAGCGCGCGGCAAATCGAAGCAAACGACACAGCATAATATGCCACCTAATCGATGCTCAAGCTTCTGCACGGGTTTTCCCGGTAAGGGCAAGCCGTCCTGACCTACAGCTCCGGCCGCCTGGAGCGCTGGGAACTTACGTCGCTTGCGTTCGGGCTCAAGAAATTCTTCGGGCTTTTCAAGTTCCTCGCAAATGGGTGACACAGACGGAGCTTCCATTCCTGTACCAGTAGCTGAACCTGGGCTCGACATTGTCACAGTTGTCGACTCTACTACAATATTACCTCCACTTGATGAGGCTGCTTCACTACTCGATTCCGCCATTTCTGCTTTTTCCAACTAACACAGGTGATGGTATGTGTATATGTGATTTCAACTTCCTTAACTTCTTTCTTCGTTGATTTCGATAAGGCCTTCCGAAACTCTAATAACAACTATCTTTTTTTAAATTTCACTTTTTTGATATTACTGAAATTTATAAAATCGTTTTGACCTCAATCTCTTATATCTTTGACCAAACTTAAGAGGTTTCAGAGAAAGAAGAGAAAGAGATGTGCTGGGGAATCAAGAGAAAAAGAGAGCAAATGACAAAGAACATATAGGTAGATAGATGGACCTAAAGTGTATATATATTTATATATATATAGAGCGAAAGAGGCAGAGAGAGGGAGAGAGAAAGAAAAGTTTATGTGCACAAAAGGGAGAAATTATAAATGTGTACAATTATATTTTCTGCTTGGTTATAATTAAAAACTCCACAGATGTCAAAAAGAATAAATTTTTAGCAATGTATATTTACATTTTCTTTTAAAAATTTTTTATTTTTATTATTCCTTTATATTAATTGCTTATTCCCTTATTATATTTTCATGTTATTATTAAGTTATTATATATTTAAATAATTTTAGTTCAAATATAAATTTATTTGATCTATTAGCAATGATATCATCAATTATGAATAATTTTTGCATGCTTTTATTTTATATTGAATATGAACTAATATTCATAACTGAATAGAATATAAATTTAGTATAAAAATGATTATATAAAGCAAATAAGATTATTTTTACTTTTAAAGCAATTTTTATTTTATTAACAATATTAACTTTAATATTGAAAAATAAAATTAAATATAATCAAGGAATAATTTTAAATTCTACTATGTAAAAAGTTTAATATGAAAGGATAAAAATAATATGGATAGCTGATATAGCATACTTTTAATTAATTTTCAAATATTGATTTATATATTTATTTATAAAGTATAAAAATATTTACATTTAAAAGTTAAAAATGCTTTTGAAATATAAGAATAAACGTCTATATTGATTCTTATATTTTTAATATATTAAAATAATAAATTTAATATTGATTTTTGTAGATAAATTGAATTTAATATTTTTAAATAATATTAAATTAGGTAATAAATATAAATTTTAATTTATAATATTTTTAGAAACAAATCATTGGCTTAAATTTAGAATATCTCAAAAAAATTGGTAATTTGAAAAATGATGGTAGTTTATGTTATATATATGAAATGGTTTATATTAGATAAACAAATTATAAATTCAAAAAAACCAATGAACACTCAAGGTTTAAGTGACCATATGTAGGTAATAAATAATTTTTGCATTCTATTAAAATTTTTTTGTTCAATTATGCTTGTAGCTTTTTTTTTATTCCTATGGCTAATGTTTCATTTGGTTTTAATTAAAAGAGAAATTTAAATATTTATTAATTGGGTATAACAATATATTTTTTATTATTAATGGAATATAATAAATGTTTCAATAAAATAACAATTATTAAAAATTATTAGTATTGTAAACAGATAAAAAAAATTTAATTTAATTAATGAAAAGTTTAAAACAATGATTATTTAATATATATATTAATTAATATGCTATTCAATTTTTCGAAAATAATTAAAATTGTAATTTTATTTTTTTATTAAAGTTTTGTGGTATTTTATAAATAAGCTCATACAATTTTTATAAGTGTAAATATAGATATATTCTAATTTATATACATCCTACGATTTATTTAAGCAAAAACATCCACAAGGTAAAAGTTTTTACTTAACAATCACTTAACTTAAATTTAATACTTAAAAAAATTTCTTCATTATTAAAATACAACTAAAATTCGATTTAAAGTTACGATTACTATAATTGCATTTTGTACAGGAAGAGTATTTAGGTAATATTATTTCATGCTTTCTAAAATGTAGATAAATTTTTATAAAGAAATCATATTGGAATTAATTAAAAAAAACCAAATTATATATTTTTATTATTTGAAAAATTTAATAATATATTAAGTAATTTAATATATAAATTGAATGAGTTTATTAGCAAAGTAAGATGTAGAAAAGAAAAGAAATTTATAATTTATTTTTATAGTTAAAAAATCAAATCTATAAAATTAATTTATATTTTAACATAAAAATACTTAAATAATTAAATATTATAAATAATTTAAAGTGTCCAAAATTTTAAATATTCATTATAGCATATCAAACGATAAAAAATATAACTGGTATTAGCACTTTAATTTAAAGTGGAATGTAAACTTATTACTAATAAAAGTGTAATAGAAAGATTTGTGTATATAGCATTTTCAAATAATTATTTCGTAATTTTTGTTAAATATTATTTTTAGTCTTGATTTACGATTTTTTTAATTAATATTTTTAAAAAGCTTATTTTGTATACTATTATTAAAATTTAATACATATCTAAATTGTTTCTTTAATTTTGAATAATAGCAAATAAAAGAAATTTCAACTTTATGCATCATTAAAATATTAGAATAACAAATTATATAAAAAACAGTCGAAATTTTTATTTTATTTAAAAAAAATGACTTATTTTTGCTTATACATTAAATTTACATAAGTTATTAAAGTGATTAAAAAACTGAGAACACAAATTTTAATTTTCATTGATGACTTAAAAGTATTAATATAGAACAAATATTATAACGCTACAATTTTTGTACATCGCTGAATTGTTTTCTACATATATTGAATATATTATTCGTTGTAATTATTCTGTAAATTAATACATATTAAATATTAATCGTAATTAATTTATATTAAAATCGAACTGCATTATATTCATCGAAGGTTCAATAGATAATGTAAATGTCCAACTGTAACATAAATAAATTTATGTTATGTACTATTTTGATCAATATATTTATTTTATTTATTTATTACTATAAAGTAATAAAAGAAAACAACAAAATATTAGTAATGTATAAAACTATTAAAACTAATTTATTACTAAAATCTTTATTTTATTAGTATTTAATATGATAAACATTAGTTCTTAATTGGTATACAAGAATGGACTTTAGGTAGAATATATATTTTAGATGTACAATGTAATTTATTTTTACAATTTTTTTTATATTATATAAATGATTTATAAAATTGAACGAAGAAATATTTTTTAAAACAAACTCAAAGTTATAGTAACATTAGATCAAGTTACGCTTGTAATCAATAAACTTTACAATCTACGTTCATTTTCATTACATCACAATTAATTACTTATTTCTAATAATATAGCAGTATATGTATGCATCGATTTTATTCAGTGATTGTAATTCAAATAATTTATAATTATATTAATTTGTTTTATCATTTATTTAAAATTAATACATATAAATTCGTATTAAAATACTTATAAATTGTTTCAAAATACTTTATATTTTACATTAAAATTATTTACGAATGCTATTTCCATATAATTTATTTATGGTATAAAATATTAATGTAATTTGTTCATAAATTTATAAAATAAATATATTATTGTTTAATTTAAATTATTATTAAAAAATTAATTATTACATACTTGAAGTTTTCTAATATACTTAGTTGTACTTATACTATAACATTTTTTAAATTAATTTTAGATAGATTGCTTGATCAACTTATTTTTTACAGTTTCACTTTTTATATGCATCAATGATAAAGATGTATTGCTAGAACTGTGAGAGATATTGTATTTTTCTTCTAATAGTTGTGGTTTTTTTTATACACTTTTTTGCTTGAAAGTTTATCAACCCTAATTAATAATGACTGTACTAAATTTTGAAGAATTTCATAGTCTTTTTTTTTCATACATTCTTGCTGGAATGTAAGTATTTGAGCATTAGTATTCTGTATCACATCTTGGAAGAATACTATTTTTTTCTGAAATAGAGTAAATGTTTTATTAATTTATTCTATTTAAATACAAAGAAAATATTTAAAAATTACATGATCATTAGATAAATCTTCTTGCGTCCATATTATGTTCATTGTTAATGTACGATTAATGCTTGTTAAATTTTTTTGTAATTCTTCCATTAATTCCCACAGTTTATCTTTTTCTATAAATGTCTCATTGTTCGAAATCTTTTGAGATAATTGACTTGTGTTCGGTAATCTTCCCAAATCATTCTAAATAAATTTTAAATAAGTACTTTAATTAGTTTTATTTTCATATAAAAATAAATTATATACAGAAATATGTATTCTATATTATTTTAAACTACCACCAATATTTTATAAGAATATCATTACAAAAAAAATATTTTTTAATTTTTCTATCAATTACGATTTATAGAATGATTAAAAAAATCAAAAGTACATAAATTGACTGATTTAATATATCATGTATGATTTTATATTTTAAATATGATTTCCTGTATATTATGTATTTATATTTATTTATATACACTATATATTTATTTTATGTATGATACACTTGCTTTATTTCTAAAATAAAATTATTTAATGTAACAGTTTTGCAATCATAGAATTCAAGAAATTACATATAAAAAAATTAGAAAATAAATTTTATATTCAAAAATATAAATAGAATAGATATTAAGGCTGAAAATTTGATGTAATATCTTTATTATATAATACATCGTTATTATTAGTAATAAATACTTTTAACATAAAATATTACTTATAAGGTGAACCAAGTTTTTAAGGTAAATTATTAATAAAAATCATATTTACATTTATATTGAATTATTATTATATTATACTCATTATGTTAAAAAAATAGTTATATATAATAATGATTACAAAGATTTTCAAGAAATAAATTTTATGTGATAATAAAAAATAATTACTAAGATTATGAAAAATATATTTTCTTAATTAGGTCTTATGTAAATTGCAGCAATTATATCTATTTACTGTTTCAAAAGGCCATATATTTTTGAATTATTGAATATTAAAATTAACATTTAATATTGAATATTGAATATTATAATAATTATTCAATAATATATTATATTGAAAATGTTTATAATATATATTAATCACTTTCAATATATTTTATAACTCTTAATACATTAAAGTAACAATATCTGTTTAAATTTATTGATCACCTAATTTAATAAATGTTCTTTAACTTAATTTTATACAAAAGAGTAAGTCATATTAAGACGATATACATTATTAACATATATATATATATATTTTTTTTTTTTTAAAAAAAAATATTTAATTTTGAATCTGATACATTTCTAAATTTCATTTTTTTTGTATACCCATATATAAGTAAAAATAATCTGAATATTAAATAATTTTTTAAATATATATAATATTGATTATTATCAATCCAAAATAGTAATGAAATTACTTCCTTTAATATTCAACTTAAAGAAAAAAAGATACAGGAATTTGTCTCAAATAACTCATTATGGAATAAATTAAGTTCAATTTAACAATAGTTTTATGAATATTTTATAAAATATTATATTGTAAAAGTTTTAAATTTAAATTTTTGTATAAATAACATTATTAATTTGAAAATATTTTTTAATATATATCTAATATAGTATATTTTGTTGTGATTTTATTTTAACTATATTTTTAAATTAAATTAAATTTTCATTTATTATTTACAAAATTTTATAAATCTATATATTAATCAAAATTTTAATATATAGTATAGTATGTATATTATGTTGTTAAACTACCTTAATTTTTATTAAGTTTTTTATTTGTTGATCTTGAGAGTATTGTAAAATTAATGTAGTATTCTTTAATATCTTATTTGTTATTTGTAAATCATGAATATTAATTTCTAATTCCCCAATACTATTTTGCAGAGCTTTCACTGTATTTGGAACGCTGGTTAATTCTGGGGCTGCTTTCAGTGATATTTGTATTTGTTGAAGTTTCTGATGTAGACTGGATATCTATTAAAAAGTAAATTATTTTTTCAGAATATATTGAATGAAATTAGATAATTTATTAAAGATAAGTAATATTTGAAAATGAGATTCAGAATAATAATAATTGAACATTTGAATATTTCCCTGATGTATTATTTAAACAAAAATTCATTAATTTTTTTAAATTTAAATGTTGATTTATATTTATATTTATAAATATAAACATAAAATGATCTAAAAATACTTTATATTATTAAGAAAATATAAAATTATATTAAAAATCATTTGTAAATTGTAGTTTTGTTAGTAAAATTTATAATTTACATTCAATGTAGAAGATAATATTAATTCACAAAAATTGATTACTGTATCTACATTTGTGAGAATAAAACTTTGCACATTTACTTTTCTTTTACCTTTGGAATACCTGTAGCTATAGGACTATTAATATTAAATATGTGGAAAACATTCCCTCAGAAGCAGGAAAAAATAAGAAGACACCAAACTGTGTTGATGTATCCAAACTTTGTCCGTAAGTATAATATAGATTCATTAGATACACTATGTGTCAAAAAGACGAGGAAAGTGACATTATTTTGTGCAAAAGCAAATTACTTCAGATGCCAAAATTATTTTAGCATACAAGTAGCAATCATTTTATCTATCTCCTTTTTTGTATAATAACTATAATAATTTGTTGCGTTTATATAAATAATAATTAATAATAAAAGAATGTTGAATAAACATTTATTGCCAATAAAACAATGTTTAATTTCATTGTTTGTAACTAATTATAAATAATCATCATTTTTTATATTTGTTATACATAAAGTTTTTTTTATTATTAAAAATTTAATTTTGTTTTAATAAAGCATAAGTGCAAGAATATTTTAAAATATAAGAAAATATATCTGTATTTACAATCGATGAATAAAAAAGTTTTATATAATTTCTTTATAACAAATTATGAATATATTATGAATAGATAATTTGTATAAATGTTTGCTTTTATAACTATTTCATGGTAGTAATGATTTTGAAGGTAAAATATATGAAAAAAGATAAGATCTAAATAGAAAAATTACTTTTTTATTGATTGAATTTGAAAAATTGAATATAAAATTTAAATATTTGTATTTATACATAACAATATTGTAATGTTATAATTTTATAGTCAATTTTGTTAATATACTAATATTTGCATAAAAAATTAAGTAAACCAACATTAAATTAAACAATAGATAAATATATTTATTGCTTATTTTTAATAAGATAAGCCAAGTATTTTAAGACACATTCTTGATTTAAAAAATTTTTTTTAATATTTTAGATATTAGAGATTAAAATAAAACTAGCTGTATTGATATATATATATTTTATATAATTTAAGAAATGAAAGAGGAAAGAAACTCTCCATCACAAATATGTTATAGGAACGAATTTTTGTGATATATTATTTTATGAATGCAATATAATCCAATGCAAATTATATATAATATTTTAATAAATTTACATTAATATTTTAAGTTGTTGAATTGATAAAATATCCCTTTTTCAATTGTACAATATTTCCTTAATACCATTTGTAATACATCAATTATAATTAAACATATTTAAAATTAATATACTTATATTTTAATATATAGATATATAAAAGCTTACCTGTTCTGAAAAAGTATATACTGATCCATTAAGCTTTTGAATTTCGGCATTAATATGAGTTATATTAGATTTAAAATTCTTATCAAGGGTATGACATGTTTGTAGAGCATCAGGAATATCTTCAATCCCAGCAATCACTGAAATTTTCAAATATTTAAATGAGCACATCTAAATAATATTGGTTAAGTACAAATTATTAATTGAAAAGTATTTATATAATTAAAAAGGTAAAGTAATATGAAATTATTGATCAACTTTTAGTCTTCTTGATTAGGCTTTTCTTTGTCGATTTCTAACATAAATTAAGACATGTGATCGGCTAAAATTCATCGATTAAGTAATTTTGTTACATACCTTGGTCGAGTTCAACTCTGAGAATGGTAAGTTGTTGACGTACATCGATAAAAAGCCATATAAGGACAATTGTAATGAGGACGATTGTACTAGCCAAGAAAATACCACACACTCGAAAGATGGCTGTGTAAATAGTATTATGGTCTGCTTCATGACCTTGTACTTTGCGCATTCCACTGCGCATCGCCGATACGTTCCAATACTCTGAACGATTGTCACTGCTATCCGACAGTAATTCCTTCACCATTACAAATAGGAAAAATATTTTTTATTTCTTTTGCATTGTTGAACTTTTGAACTATTCATGAATGGGACAGTGTCAGACTTAACGAATGCCAATTATAAATGCAAGTATAATGCGTGAAGTAAAGCATTATATAGCTTCATAAATTTTATTTTATATTTTGGCAAAACTTCTGGAAAGTAGTAAGTACACTGACTATTACATTCTTTAAAATACTATCCAATACTTTATAAAGCAATTTATCAATAGTAAAAACAGAAATTATAATTATTTCCATATTATATCCACATTAGCAATGCTTATATGCATACATAAAAATAAGAGAAAAAAAATAGTTGAATTTAATACTTATTAATTTATGTTGTTTTTGTTTGACGAAAATAATTTTTATTTTACCATAAGAGTATTCAAATTAATATAGAAGTCACTATAAAATTGAAATATATGTTTACAATTAAAGTAGTTTTGAAAAATAATGGAAACGTCTTCATAAAGAATAAAGTAATCACATGAAGTCATATATTAAAAAAAATGTAAATAATTTATTATATTTGTTTAAAATTCCAATTAAAATGATTATTATTGAGTATTTATATCTATTTTACAAGAAATTTAAAAAATAGTAGTAAAAGTAGTAAAAGCAAATTATTATTTTTAATATTTTGTTATTAATATTTAATTATAATTTGTAAAATACTCGAATAAATTAGAAAATCAATTTATTTTTTTTTAAATTCAAAATCATTAAAGTTAGAAATTTTAATAGATTCAATATAAATAATTCTTTAGTTATTTGTACAATATTTACTTATTTATAAAAATTAATTTTTTTAAAACTATTTTAGTATGATATTTAAATTATTACTTGAATTAAAAAGGCAAGTCAATACGTAATGTATTTTATTATACAATATTACACAAATAATTATTTTCGATTCGTTTTCGAGATGTTATGCAAATGTTTGATATTTTGATTTAATAAAAAATTGAATTATAAAATTTGAAATTAACTATCTTATTATATCTACTTAGAATGTGTAGTTTTAATAAATTTTATTAGAAAATATTTATTTATATTGTATAAATTTCTAATTCAATTATATAAGCACGAGTTAAATGAATAAAAACTTATCTAAAAACTACTTAGTTTATAATTCGATTAATTTAAAGTATTTAGACGCCATTGAATATTATTTCTAAATTGGATTTTGATTTTGATATATAAAGAAGATTATAATAATAAATTAAATATATATAAATTTTAATAAAATTATTTATAAGTTTTTCACAGGCTTCTTGCATATACAGGTACTACAAACTACCGAGTTGATACATGCGTCTTATATATACCTGTAGGGGTGGAAATAAATAACACACCTGAGAACTGCGTTTGCCAGAACTTCGCCTCGTGATAGAGCGCGGTGTTGCGAGAGCATTTAGTTCTTTGCGTTTCTTCATTTTTTTTGTTGGTGGCCGAAGTGGTACTGTCACAGCTACAGAATCCATTTTAAGCAAAACCAATTTGCCGGTCACTTTCGCAAACCTTGTCAACTTTTCCAGTACTTATTTTTTAGCATTTTTTAATGTATGTTTTTTTCGACTTTTCTGTTTGTTCTATGATTTAAACAAGTAATTATTAATATTGTAATATAATTAATATTGTAAAATAAGTAATAATTAATATTACATCAGTTAGCGTAATCGAATAATATATAAATTAATTAGTTATTCCGACTTCGGCCATAAATATCTTTGATTTTTAATTTCTCTGATGAAAATGAGATAAGTTAATCAGTTTGGGTCGATATTTTTTATTTAAAAAAGATGATGTTTAAGAGACAGAATATTTTTCGAATATCAATTAAATATTTCACAATAACAGGCTTACGTACTTGCATAATACTGCCTTATGAAGCATATAATAAATAATTCTATTTTTATTTTTCTAATCAACCTAAATTTTTTTTAATCTTAAAAAATAATTCTTGAAATAATTCTTGATAAATTTTTAATATTTAATATTTAGTATTACTAACTATATTATACTATTTATACAAGGTAAATAATAAAAACATTAAATATATATAGAATAATTTTGTGTTTATTAAAATATTAAATCAGCTTTAATATAATTTTCAAAATTATAAAGAACATAAGGATTTAGTAAACAGATTAGTAATAATATACTAAATATAAAAATAAATTTAATAAAATCTTTAATTGCAAAATAATAATTAAATTGGATTTTAAAAAAGCTTCTATTTATTTTTAGAGGATTAGATGATTATTTTTCAAATAAAAAGATTAAATGTACAATTATAAAAAATATATATGTATTGATTTGAAATATAAAAATTAAACAATTAAATGTTTTATTGCTTTATTTGTAACAGAAATTATATTAAAATGTATATATAATACTTATTCAATTATATTAATAAATATTATTTTTTATTAATTTTATGTTATGATTTATATTCACAATTGTATATGTAATATTTTATATTTCAATACATCTTTCTTATTTTTTTTTGTGATATAAAGAATAACCAATATTATTGGTGGATACAATTTTATAGAATCTTCTATTAAAATTATGTGGGAATTACTAGAATCAATAAATTTAAATAAAAAATTGATAATGATGATTTTATAAATTCTAACTTGTATGGCATTCATCTAAAAGTCAAGATATGCTGGGTCAATATAATCTTATTTTGTAATAAATTTCTTTATTTGTGTATAGAGAAAATTTCAAACATATAATTCTACTAAATGGTAAATTATGTTAATCATATAGAATTGCTTTTAGAAGAGAAACATATTTTAAAATAAAAGGACATTATTTAAAAATTAATTTTGTTAATAAAAGTAAGAAGTATATATATTCTATAAACTTTCTTATAAAATATTATTCAAGATATATTATTGATTATATAATATTAAAAAAACAACAATAACGATACTTATTTAACTGCTTGTATATTTCACAATAATTCAATCGATTATTAAAATAGTAATCTATTTTATATACAGAAAATTGTTTTCTTAATGTAATCCAAGTAGAAAATAAAATAATATTAAATATTTAGCAGTAATCTTGAAAACTCAATTTTAAATGGTATATGAACATTAAATTGAAGTATAAGAAGACTATTAATACTTTATAAATCTGCTACTGTATAAAATAAGATAAATATATGTGACTATCTACATAAATATTGTTGGGGCATTGCTATGACACCGTAGGTATTTTTCAAATGTTATTGTTCGAGAATGTAAGAAAACTCCCAGCTCATTAAACATCTGGAAATTTCGAGATAAGAGTTCCAAAAAAGGCGAATTCTCAACGACTCGAGAAATAACATTCAAAACGCGCCTCGGATTAACTAAATCTAAACAATTCAGCAAAACTTCGAATATCTAAAGAAAATACAATTCATAAACACATCTGGCGAGAACAAAGTTCCAAGTGTCCAGCAAAACAAGTCATAAAACTAATGTTACGTGACATTTGACAGGGCCTCGCCACAAAGCATCTATCGACGACAAGTCATAATACTTCTGGCATAATCAAGTCATAAAAATATAAGCAAAAACCACCTCGTCTTACATCCGAAAAAAGGGATAAAAGGCAACATTGCACGCATACGCTGTTGTCAAACCCAGCTACTTGTGGCTCGGATAGTGAAGCGAGAACGTGCCAAAGAAGTCCCCCTCTCATGGTGCGACTGCAAGTAAGAAACACTCTGATTGGAAACGCCAAGAAGCAGGAAATTCATAAAGGCCACGCAGTGGCCGAGGGAATGCCTTGAAGAAAGACGCCAGCAAGGCGCACGTGGAGTCTCTTGTCACCAGAGAAGCCGGCAAGGCTGCTTCTCCAAGGGAATGCCAAATAACAAGAATGTAGACATACACAGCAAAGGCCAATTAAGAGGCAAAGTCTAGTCATATCCAACTCATAACAAGTGCAAGATAAGTGCAAATCAAATCATACACTCGCAGCAGTGCAAGACAAAGAAAAGGGAACAAGGAAACAGTGGTGCACAAGGCACAACATAATCACAACCTATAAGGAGCCGTTTGAGGCAAACTCGGCAAACAATACGAGGTATAGCCAGAAAAACACAAAACATAAACTACAAGCTGCCGCACGAGGCACAACCTCTAGACATCACTAGCTGCCATCAAGAGCACAAAATCTGTAGAGCTCATAAGGTAAAGTTCCATTCCTTAATAACGATAATAATACACAATATGCCTCACAAGGTAAAGAACTGTAGAGCGACCAAGCTCACACAATCTGCAAACACATAAGGGGCAAGTTTAGCTCCCACAAGAAATACTTATGAGGCGCCGTACGCAGCAATATCTGCAGACTAAAATGAAGTGCCACCAAAAGCGCACCTGCAGAGCCTTCAACGTAAGCAATAAGACAATACCAAGGCAAATTCAAGCTACTGCCACGTGCATTACATATAGAGGCCAGAAGGCTACGTCCTTCTACCTGTACATGCAACGCACATTACAGCTCTGTGGCAATAGCAATAGAAAACTTAAGAAACGAAGGCATTCAAGCATAAACTAAAAATCATTATAATACAACTAATGCAATTATCACAATAAACTAAAACAAATACCAAATCCATTTATTATTGAATACATGTACTATCCTGTCCACTTGCCCGCAATCCTCCCTTCCACCATCTGGAAGTTTACACCTAACTCTAGATATTCGGCTCTCCTAGCCCGGTACTTCTATTTTTAGACAGTTATCAATATTTCCGAAAGTGATTATATACCTGCAAACTTCATTTTTTTTATAATCCTTTTCCCAATAAATTTCTATACATTAGCAGTCTTACCAAAGATTACTCAAGAAAGATGTAATGTAGATATTTCAAACATTAATATTAATTCTATATGTTTTGCCAAATTTTCAAGCAATGAATGATAAGTAACTAGATAATTTATTATTATAATTTATGTAAGGATCAAAAGTATTTTCAAATGTATGGAAATTTGTTGCTTTGAAATATCCAAATAATCTGAATATCTTAATAAAATTATGAATTCATTAAATACCAATAATAATAATAAAATTAATTGATATGTTAAAAAGGACTATTACTTTGAAAAAATTTATAGTTAATATAATTTTATTATCAATTATTATACATGCGCGCAAGCACACAAAAATTATTCTAATGTATCTATAAATCTTTAAAGGCTATTTAGTAGATGAATAGAGATTTAGATTTAGAATATTCAATGAGCGACAATTCACTATAAGCATAACTTATAGTATTAATCTTAAGTTAGTAATGTACCTTGTACGATAGTAGATTTGTGGCTACACCTTGATAAGTTGGATTTACTATAGAATGAAAATATACTTATGAATTAAGTTTTTACAAATTTCATGTAACGATATTTTTTAATTGCATTTAAAATGATTAGCTTTGTATTTAAAATTATGTTGAGTAAGTAAAAATATTTGATAATTGTGAACTGCTATGGTACACTCCTTCGTCATTATTTATTTTTTAGATTCCTTTCAATTTAATTGCTCTCCAATGACGGTTGACTAAATACATTTTTATTCATTTTGTAATAAGATAATTTAATAATATTTTCATTTTATTTTTGTTCGCGTTGTAGATACCTTTGAAATTTCTTAATCATTTACAGTTGAAATAACTATTCTATTCAGTAACCATATTGTACAGAAAAAATCGAAAAATTATAATTTATTAAAAAAAATTTTGACGGTTCATAATATTTTTTAATATAAATGAAATTTTTTATACAAATTGTTTTTTTTCTAAACTAGAAAATTGTATAAAATTGTTTCTTATTGTGAGTTTTTTTTTAATTTTACTGTTTATAACTTAAATATAAAATAAATAGAAGCTAACCAGATCATCTATTATATACATATTTGTAAATACAATAATTAAAATGTCATTGTAATTACTATTGTTAACTGTATAAGGTGTGAAAATATTTTATATTTATCACAATTCTGAGAAATCACAGAAATAATTACAATAAATTCATATTTGACAAACCGAACCATACTATTGAGCAGACTGCTTGAATAATACTTCGATATATTATTAATGAATAACCTTTTAATTTTTATTTTATGAATATATAATTAGAATTAATTTATATTATTTTCTTTCACACTACATTAATGTAAAATATAATAGCATACATAATGTTTATGAAGAATTTTGGTTAGTTCATATATGAACATTTTAATAATTTATTTAAAGATCCATCTAAAATTTTAAACTTTAAAGGAAAAATCGATTTTCTACTAACATCCTATTTTATTTGGATTATAGACTATTATATAATTCTTACTATCTATAATTCTTTAATATATAATAGACCAAATTTGATTATGTAATTTATTTAATCATTAGATTATATATGTAAATGAATCTTTTTGTATAAAATCATTATTTTAAATGTACAAACTGCGGTCTGGCTAAGAGTATAATCAAGCTACAACAAAAAATGTGACTTTGAGATTATTCAGATTAGTTCTGATAACATAAATATTATATTATTTATCTTGATACAAAACTGTATGTTGTGATTAATTGTGATTTGTGATTCATTATATGAAAATAGGTGAAGAGAATTCAGAATGTCCAAATCTTAGCAGAAAATATATTTATATACTTTCATTGTTTTCCATAATAAGTTAATAAAAAGTTAATTCTTTATACATATCAGAACTCTTTCAACAATCATAACCATTATCTTTTAGGTAACTCTGAAAAATTTGCAGTTATTTTCATTTTATTTATATGTGCAAAATTAACAATGTAATCAGTGCAATGGCGTTTATTTTCACTAAATAACCTAAAGAAATTGTTTTATGTTGGCTAATTATCTTTTTGTACTCACAAACCCATCTTTAATATTTTAATACTTATATCTAATAATGAGATTTTAGGAGTCCATAATTACCATTGATTTAAGTAAATTAGCAATTGATTTGATTTTTTTTTCTTCATTTGGAATAGTAAAATTTTTAATATTTTCTATAGGTTTGAAAAAATATATTAAATAATTGCATCACTGAGTTTTATTATGGTTTTATGATATCGCAATATAAAACAAATACTCATCAAATCTAGCTGATTAAGATACTATTGAACTGGTTTCAGTAATTTTAAATTCTATTAGAAATATAAATTATTTATTAGAATCAATATTAATGTTGGAATTTAAAAAAAAAACTTTATTATATTACAAATTATTTTCAAATAGTAATTTTATTTAAAAAATTATAATAAAATTTTGATCTGAAATATCATGTATTGAGTAGTACTACTTCTAAAATTACAAGAATGGCTAATTGGTGATTTATTATATGAAGATTAATTTGTATTTCATATTCACTTTTATTGTAAACTCAATTTAGAGATGAGTAAGAACGATTAACATTTTTTTCTAAATTTTGATATACCTATTTATATACTTTAATTAAGATGTATCAAGATATATTAAACCAAATTTTTTCAAAATATTTCGTTTAATTAATGTAAGAAAATTAATCTTGGAGCTTCTTTGAAAAATATGTTTAAATTATATTTTTACATTTTTCATAGATTAACATATCCATAACAGTATAATTTTTTATACTTTTAAATTTATTTTCAAAATTAAAAATCTGTCGACTATATTCAATTAAATTTTATAGAATGTTAGAACTTACAAAAGTGGTAAAAATAATTATAGCCTTGCAACTATAATTGTTTAATTTGCAATAATATTGTAAGGAAACAATAGTTTGTACCATAACTTTTTTGAATTTTTAATACTTTTGATAAAAGTTTTTATAAATATAGTAATTTGTACATACATTTTAAAATAAATTGAAATTTGAAAAATTAATTTTTTTCTATTCATTATTATATAACAGAACATTATATCTTAAGCATTCATTTTATTTTACCTAAGTTTTAGAAAAGTATATCTTTTAACTTAACTTAATTATGTAATATTATTTTTGTACATTACTGTAAAAGTGCTTTGAAACTATAATTTTATTTATTATTATTCGTTCATTTGATTTTTTTACCTTTTCAGATTACGATGTTGACTTTTTGTATATAAGCAAACATATTTACAGCTAACTTATATTCACATTTTATAGTGTCAGAAATAAGCGTAAAAGATCTTAATATTTTTACAATGGGAAGAGTAAATAATAAACTAAAATAAAGAATAAACTATATGTAAGAATAGAGGAAGAAACAAATTATAAATAAAAAATTTGAATGTTGACTGCTATTTGGTCTCTACAAAAGGGATTCCTGGACATCACATTTGATATTTGCTACATAAATGTGTCCAGTCAATATCGAAAATTGGAAGTCTCATTTTATTAAAAACGATACAATTTTTATTGCAGATAAAATAAATATTATCCCACACTAAATATATTACCAATATGAAGTACATGTTTTTTTAACATATTTTTATAATTATTTTTAGTTATTTATGCAAATTATATTATATAAAAGCATGTGAAATATGTATGTACATAAAAATTATTGAAAAGTATAATTGAAGCTTATTGAAAAAAATGCAAAATTATATTTTTTATATCATTGATTAAATATTATTTTGTAATCTATTAACAAAATAATCTACATAAAATATATTTAAATAATGTAACTAAATATTGTTGTCTATATGAAATTGATTTCACTTTAATGTTTGTAATTTTATATTCAAACATTTAATAATTGGATAGAATATTTATTATAAAGAGTACTTTAAATGATACTTTTATATAATTTTTTAACTATATTGATTTTCACAAACACTTCGTTTTCCATATTTCATTGTACATAATTTAAGACTTATAACATGAGTTTATAATGTAGAATTTAATTAATTAATGAATGTATAATCTATAGAAAATACAAAATGTATTTTTGTTAAAATTTATAAAATATAATTTTTACTTATCCCAATCCACAAATGAATTTTTCAATTATATGAAAATTATATCAATATAAACATATTTTGTATTTTTTTATTTATTTATTTTTTCTTTATTAAAATATCTTACTGTTATACATATGTTTGTTCTTCAAAAACAACGTTAGATTTTTGGTATTATTAATTCATATGCCTTTTGAAATAATTTATATTGACGTATGTGCTGTTTATATTTATTTAGATTTTGTACATTCAAATAAAAAAAAAACTTAGATTTCATGTAATAATATAATTTTTTAAATTGGTTTTGATATCGAATATAATATAGTGCAGATATTTCAAAAATAAAAATTACTTTTGTTGCATGACTGATTCAGAATTACACAAATAACTAAAATAATTTACATAATCAATCGTTTTAAATACAATCAATTAGGAGTATTCTTATATTACCATTATACAATTACTGTATATTAAAGTATAATGAACACAAATGCTGTAATTTTAGCAATATGTTTTGATTCAATTATTTATGATATTATTATCTTTCTTTCTTTAGAATAAAATATTTATTTTAAATTATTCATTGAACTAATAATATCCAAGACAAAAGTTTATCAAATTAAAAATTTTAGTAAATTAATTTTATATATTGTTTTGTATATGCAAAAGCCATAAATAAACGGATTAAATATTCTTAAAATGTATCGATAATGTATAATTTTCACTTACATGTTACATAATAATATTTTTAAATTATGATACAAAGTGTACATAAAAGTAAAAAGCAAATAAACTATAAATATTTTATTCAATATCCAAAATATATAAAAGTAAAACAAATATTTCAATTTACATTATATATGGTACTTTTCAGTTACACAAAATAATAAAATTTTTGTTATAAACTTTATGAGATTGAAAATTCTAACTTGTTTTGTGAATTACTTATTATATTTGAATAAAATAAATATTTAGAGTTAAAATAATATAGTTATTAAATTTATTAACAGTTGCACAATTATATGTAATGTAATTCTTGATGAAATAAGGCTAAAAATTTATGATATATTTATAAATTTTTATCAAATTTTAGATATAAAATAGTTAAACACGATAACAGTCTAAATTATATTGAAATATTTTTTATTTTAGGATATCTACAATATATTTTTTCTGACATCACATACAATGATACACTTATTAATCCATTAATATTTCCTAAAATATTTTCAACCCAAAAGAATAAAAAGAATAAAAATTCACACATAAATTGCAAAATCATTTTGTATTTAAAAAAAAATTGTTTTTTTTACTTAAAGATATGTGAGAATTATTATCTAACAAATTCAAAAAGCAAATTGTTTTTGTCATTAGACAGTTTCATCACACGTTCAAAAATATATTATATATTATAGAACTAATATTAAAATGCAAATAGTCATAATCTCACATTCAAGAAAACAATTTATTTAAAAATATATTCTATTATAATAGTAATCTTAAAACCTTACCTCTGTGAAGTTGAAATCATCTTCAAAAGTTTACCGCTTCATATCATTTAATAAACTTAATATTATATGAAATACTTAAAAATCTTGCATTTCCTCTGAGTAATATGAAAATATTAATATTCTGTTATACTTAAAACTAATTTTTAGAATTATACAACTCATCACTTTGCATCATATTATATAAATAAAAAAGAGTGTAACTACACTAGAAAATGGACAGTGTGCATTTGTAGGCTTGCGCAACAGAAGTTCAAATTTAATGGTTTTTACAACTGGACAAGCTTAATGTACTATAAGAATTTCGATCAAATGTAAAAATTGTGTAAGATCAAAGAGAAAAAAATTTTTTTTATTCATGTACAATAAATAATTTTAAAAATTAATTCAAACTGTTCGTTCCATATTTGATCCTAATATTTTCCTAATATTATCCTAATATATTCATATTTGAACAAAATATATTTTTATATACTTCTATAATTATAGAAACTTAAAAATAATTAAATGGATATATTATATTTTAAAAGTTTATGTATTTTTAACTATTTTTATTAAAATTCATTAATATTTATATTTGAAATGAAATACATTTTAATCGGTCTTTCATATTGTAATAAGCTCAATAAAAATAGAAATAAAATTATTTTAAAAAAATAATATATACATTACCTATACCACATTCTATCTATCTATATATATATATATATATATATATATATATATATATAATAGTCTAATTTATCATAAAAGCGTTAAATATAAATATAATATTTTAACTAATTTAACAAATTTAAGACAGTTTCTTGTTCATATATAACACTAATATATTTAACTACACATTTAAAACAGTGGTATTTATAAGTGTCTTGGATCAGACTAAAAAAACCTCCTTATGATGGTGGGTGGAGGCTTGCTGGCAAGTGGAAGGGGCAATGCAATTATCCAATACTGCCTTTAATGTTTATTGTCTTTCCTTTTATTAAATATAAATAAATAATGAATAGTCAATGATCTGTATTCTGAGTGTATTCTTGATAGTCGGGAGCGTGATTCTCCTTCTCCTTATGAGTTGAGTAGTTGTAATGGGAGACTCGTGCTGGTAGGGGCAGCGAGTTCGTGCTGTCTTAGCCGCCGGCGTGGGGTGAGAGCTGTAGTGAACGGAGTGGTGGGAGAACGTCCGTGTGATGTCATTGCTTGTGTACGTGAGATCAGATGTAGTCGTGGTATTGGTGCACGTGCGTGTGGTTGCTGCTTATGTAGTTGGCAGGAGCTGATGTGTTAGTAAGCAGTAAGAACGAGCGAAGTGGCGTATCTTACGTGTGGGAATGAGCCTATAAGTAGAGGTAAGGTGTAAGAACGAGCGTGGTGCGTCACTTACACGCGGGATTTATATTTATTTAGTTGTTCAATATATCCTTAGACATGTTTTATTCTGGGCTAAAGATGATTGCTCTTGGGCTTAGGTTTGTGGTTTCCGGTCTAGTTATCAGGTGTGTAATGATGAGACTAGCGTTTTCGGATTACCTTACACCACGGTTACGCCCGCATGTAAATAACGCTGACGATCGTACCTACCTCTTACCTCTACACTGTGGTACACGTGGTGCACCATCATAAGAAGGTTTTTAGTCTGATGCCAGACATTTTGGTCCTGCGAGCCGGATAAGTGGAAATCAGTGCATGCATCCAATTCTAAGGGAAAATAATCATAATTTTAACAACAGTGTAAACGGATCATTGATTACAAAAGAGAGTTTCTTCACTACTGTAAGTACACTATTACTGCTCTTACTATAACAACATGTCCACCCAAGAGAAAAAGGAGATCAAGGATTCAGTAGGTGCGACCACACGCTGCACAATAAGGGAAAAATTAACTAGTGAACAATTGATGACGGCCCAAACGCAATGGGCCCGGATCAGCACCATTCAAACACTAACTGAAAGCCTCGATGCAGAAAGAGCAACCATCAGTCTACCCGAGACTTTAGCCATTCAACACACAATCGATGAGACTCACAACACCTTCATAATGGATCATAAGCTCATAGTAACTAGCTGGCCACAAACAGGTATTGCGGACGAATACTTTACAACGAATGCCGTAGTAGAGGAATCCATTTGCTACACCAAGGCCACAGCATTGATCATGAAGCTGTTTCAAAAATTGGGACAGGCCACAGCACTAACTACAATGCCCACGGGTGCAGAGAGAACACTGCCAGCAAAACCATGCGGAGCGACTTATCTCCCGGATATCTCCATTCCAAAATTCATCGGAAATTATCTAGCATGGCCTACATTCAGAGATCTCTACCAGTCACTAGTACTTCAAAGCAACAGGCTAAGTGACATTCAGAAATTGCATTATTTACATAACTGCTTAGAAGGAATACCAGCGGAACTGATATCACGTATGACACTACATCACACGTCACTGGAAGCAGCCTGGAAATTGTTGATGAAAAAATACAACTCGCCTCGGCTAGCACTAAAAGCGCTTATAACATAAGCGATTACTATTTCACCAAGACAATTAAAGGAAGCTCCTGAACTATCAAACTTAAAGAGCAGACTACGCAACCTACCGGGGGCGATGTTACAATACGATGTCCTCAACGCATGGGACGCACTGATGATGCATGTGGCATTGATACAAGTAGACGACCAAGTTGTAACTGCCTGGGAACAATCACTTGGAACCAAAAATTCATACCCACAATTCGCACAATTTGACCAGTTCATAATGGCACGAGTAGGAGCTCTGGAAAACGTATCAATGGTAAAAACACAAGGAATCCCAGCTACACGTCCACATTCTCAATCCCGTGTATCCAACAAAAAATTCGTAAGATTATGTCAGCTATCAACTGCCCACAAGACACCAGGCCGAACCAGAACATTCGACAACAAATAAGTATGATGCCTTTATTGTCAAGAAGCTCACAGAATTTGGACATGTAGCCAATTCAAGCAACTCAGCATCGCCGACAGAGTGGCTGCAATAAAAAAACTAAAGCGATGTTGTAACTGCCCTGGTGATCATTTACCACGACCCTGCCACAACAAGAAAGGGTGCATGATATGCCACAAGGCACACCACAGATTACTGCATGACTCCGAGAATACCACTCTAACCGATCCTGTCCAGTCATTACACACTACATGACTAAATAAGAAGCACTCGAGCACAACAGCAACAATGACCCTGCTAGCAACTGCGGTAGCTAAGGTAACCATACAATCGACCACCCATCAAGTGCGCTTGCTTATCGACACTGGCTCCGAGATTTCAGTCATCACTGAAAGCCTAGCGATATCTTTGGAGGTGCGGACAATCTAAACCAACTAGTGGAAACAGCGACACAGTTAAGGGACCTCTGCACGGCGGGCGGATTCCCATTGGCAAAATGGCATTCCCCTAACCAAGAAGTAATCACCGCAATGAAGACACAACAGAATCCCGAACAGTCAGTAAACTTAAGCGAAAATACTACCAAAATCCTAGGACTACAATGAAGACCACACGAAGACGTTTTCACATTCTCAACTTCATTAGCTCCCCACACAACTACCGTCTCAAAGAGAAACCATCCTTTCTGACGTTGCGAAAATATTTAATCCATTGGGATTCTCATTACCAATAGTAATACGAACCAAGATACTACTTCAAGAACTATAGCTCCACTCAGTCAGATGGGATGACCCCCTCCCAAACGAAGTCGTCAACCGATGGCACACCATCAGAGGGGAGCTACAAAGGCTGAATGAAATAACCATACCTCGATGGTTCAATACAGAAGTATCATCCACCATAGAACTACATGGATTTGCTGGCGTCACAACTAGCAATGGCTGCCGTCATTTACATGGTAATACAGAATGACAACAAGAAACCGACCGTCGCACTCATATGCTCAAAGACAAGGGTGGCGCCACTGAAAAAGCTAACAATACCAAAACTAGAATTAGCAGCCGCATTGCTACTGTCAAAACTCATGGCACATATCGAAACCACACTAAGAATGAAAATAACAGCTACACACCTATGGACAAATTCGCGAGTTACCCTGGCTTGGATCAAATCACACCCGTCACGATGGAAGGAATTTGTCTACAATAGAGTCACGCAGATCCAAGAACTCACTGCAGAAGCACAATGGAGATACGTACCTGGAACATCAAACCCAGCTGACTGCGCATCCAGAGGACTTAACACTCAACAACTCAAGGATCACACGCTATGGTGGACAGGCCCAACATGGACACCAACTCCAGACTCTTGACCAGCGCAACCAATTGACAGAGATGACCAATGCAATCAAGAAGCTCATCCAAATAAGTCGTTAACCGTAACCACCAAAGAATCAGAATACGACTTAATGACTTAATCAACACTTAATGAACTACTAAGAATAACTGCGACATGCATTAGATTCATCGCGTGCCTAAGGGGAAAACGCCCTTCATCAAACCAACTGACACATACTGAAATAGATCTAGCAAGAACACAGTCGCCAAGATTGACACAAAAAACATACTTTTGTCAGGAATTACGAGCAATGCGAACCACAGGATTACCCTCATCTCACGCCTTCCATCGACTCACGCACACGGAATCATAAGAGTCGGTGGAAGATTAATGAATGCATCAATATCAGAGAATAAAAAACATCCAGCCATCCTTCCGAAGCTATCACAATTCACAAAACTCATCATCGAACAAGCACACCTCAAAACATTGCACGAGGCACCCAGATCACACTATCATACACCCGACAACATTACTGGATTATAGGAAGGCGATCAGCTGTAAAATCACACATTCTAAGATGCGTTACTTGCGCAAAACAAAGAGGGATTCGGGCCAGTAAATTAATGGGACAACTACCCTTACCAAGAGTAACGCCTTCGCGACCATTCACCCACACTGGAGTGGATTATGCTGGTCCCCTTACCATAAGGACATGGAAGGGTCGAGGAGCCAAAACCTACAAGGCCTGGATTTGTGTGTTCGTCTGCCTCACTACGTCAGCAGTGCACATTGAAGTAGTGGGTGATTACTCAGCAAAGGGATTCAATGCAGCATACCGAAGATTCTCAAG